CCTAGAGAATAAGAAAAAATTGGGTTTGTGACATTTTAGCAGAGACAGCTGACGGAGATGACAGCCAGCCTTCCACAAGTGGCCAGCCCTCCACAGCCAAAAGGAGGAGGCTCTCAGGGCCTAATTTTGATGACTATTTTAATATACGCAAGAAACAACAGGAGCTGGATGCCCAGCACCTCCAGCAGGAGGATGAGTGAATCCAACTGGAAAACCAATGCTTAAGACAAGAGGCTCAGCACCTTGAGCAAGAAAGAGCAAGGGATGAAAAAAGTTTGCCTTGATTTCAAAGCTTATTGAAAAAATTGATTATGGAATTATATTATGGTATATGCGGAACAACTGGGGAGGAAAGAAATAAACTATCCAACATTGTAAAAACTGCAAGCAACATTATCGGGCAGGATCTACCTATGCTGGACGATATTTTTAAGGACAGCATGGAGAAAAAACTTACCACCATGGAAGACTCTTCTCATCTTGCATCATCACTTTTTACGTTTTTACCAAGCAATAGTAGACTTAATTTTTTAAAGGCAGTAAATGCTTTTTAAATAGCTTTTATCCAAGTGCATTTTAATTTGATCTCAAAACCAAATTCTTAATTTATCTATTGTGTTACTTTTACTCTGTATATTATCAAACTTGCTCCAAAAGGAAAATGAGTTCTGATTTTAATAATTGGCCCAATAAACTGTTATCTTATCTTACACTGTCCTGGAACACAATTCACCCAACAAAAACCCTGCTTCAGTACAGAATCTGACAGAATGCTCCCTACAGACACCAGACCAGCTGCAGTCATTTTATAAATATTTCTTCTCGGTGGCATATCAGAGCAAAATGACAAGGAAGTGCTGGACAGAAAAGTTTATGCAATGGCATCTGATGTAATTTTTATTCTCTCGAGGGCCACTGTGAAACCATGGAACATGTACATGTGGATTTTCCTCTTTTACTAGTACTAATTAAGTGACCCAGACTCTGAATAGGATGGGTCACTGTATCAATTACATTGACGCAAAGGGACTGGAAACTAAATTGACATCAAGAAAACAGAAGAAAACAGACAAAAGAACCCACACCTGCCATGGAAACAATTGCAGCTGATTTGAATTGCACTGCAAGGGAACAGATTTGTTGGCGGTGACAGACTATTTTTCAGATTTTATTGAAGTAAGAGAACTGAAAAGTATGGAATCCCAGGAGGGCCAAGAGAAAAAAAAAATAAATAAATAAATTGAAAAAAAAAATCAATACATTTGAAATGAAAAAAAAAAAGTTGTGAAATTTGCAAGATCGCGTATAATCCCGCAAGATCGCGCGTAATCCTGCGTAGTCGTGCGAGATCCCGCGATATCAATCGTGTTTCATTTTCAAGATGAAATTTTTTTAAAAATTACAAAATCTCGCGAGAAAGTGCGAGAACAAAATCATGGTGAACGAGGCAAGGAGGGGCTGTTCGAAATACCAACAGTGCAATGAACATGAAGAGGAGGATGGCATTTGTAAAGGGAAAACAAAGACAAAAGTCCACAATGGACCGGCGCCAGTACGTGGGATGCAAACACGTAAGTTGTTGACTATCGTTTAAATGGGAGTAATCAATGGTCTGGTGCGATATAGTCACAGTGCTTAGTGTGTGGCGCAAAATTAAAATCAAATCAATGGGCTTACTGTTAAAATGGGGCATCTCGAAAGTCCAAAGGTTCATTGGTCCAAAAAATGGTAACATTGTCATTGGCTTTTTAATCAATGGTTCATTGGTCCGAAGGTTCTATAGTGAACATTCGGACCAATGAACCGTCAGACTATTGAACCTTCAGACTATTGCTACGGCCTCGTAAAGATCATGTTTACAATTGAAACAGACCATTCAATACTCTGGGACCTATCAGGTATATTAGATTAATCTATTTCTAGATTATTTGCTACTGTACTGATGTACGTGCCTTTAGTGGGGCGCACAATATTGCCTAAGTAGGTCACGTCAAAAAGCAGCACTTCTTACCCCCCTTTCCCCAAAGGCCGCGTTTCTACCGCCAATTTAATTATTGGCTGCCAATTTACTTCCTATCCCGAGTTGTTCATTTTGCCTATTCAATTCTGTTATTTTTTATTAATGACATGCGTATGTTTTCTTCATTTCAGCACTTGATGATCAGCAGCCATCATGTAGTTGGGCAAGTATTTCTTTAAAAAGAAAACAAAAATTTACGTTCCGGGACGGGAAGAAAAAACGCACTGAGGTATGAATATGTTTTGTACAATGTTATTTAAAGCAATTGTTTTTAATCCCTAACATAAAAATTATGTACTGAATCTGTTAAAGTTTTATCAACTTAGCGCTGGTAGCACTCCTGGTTTTGGTCCTGACCCTGCTCTGTGGTTCTTTGTTCTTGAGACTGATATAATTAAGACACAGTTACAGCTCCTCCTCTTAGGCCACAATGGCTTGAGTCCGCCCCTGACTATCACACCATGCCTTCCTTTCAACTGAAAATGCTCCTGCTGGTGCTACTACAATACCATGTAAATTTAAATATATCTGATTGTATCAAATTTTCATTTTAGACCATCACTGTGACCAAACTAAAAAAAAATAACATCTAAATCTGGTAAAATCAGATTTGGCATTGTGAGAGATGAAGATGGGATACCAAACAGAGAGGTAATTCCTTATTGATTGTTGAGCAGTCAGTCGAGCAAAAAAGAATATAAGTTCAATCGTTTAGGACATAGCTTAACATAAAGAGATAATTATTAATAATATTGATAATATGAAAGCCCAACATAAATAGAGTATTTATTAATTAGGGCATTTACATAAAGTGTGGGCTCATACCTAATAAAAGTTGTATTACAACTTTGTTTCATTGCTGTAGGCATCAATTTCATTTTTGGTTTTACAACAAAGAACTGTTATCTTCCAGATCCCACCGAATGGTCCTTACTGCCATTCAGTTGCACTGGACTCATGCTGTCAGTATTTTGAAGGGAAGGACTCCCAATCCTTAATGGAAGCTGGGCAGAGGCTGTTTATTATGGCAAATAAAAATGGCCCAAGTTAAATCAAGAATATCTGGGCACAGCGAAGAAGATTTTATTGTTTGTAATGATGTACAGTACAGAATCTGACAGAATGCTCCCTAGAGACACCAGACCAACAGTAGTTATTTTTTCTTCTCGGTGGCACATCAGAGCAAAATAACTAGAAAGTGCTGGACAGAAAAGATAATGCGATGACATCTGATGTAATTTTTATTCTCTCGATGGCCACTGTGAAACCATGGAACATGTACATATGGATTTTCCTCTTTTACTAGTTCTAATTAAGCAACCCAGACCCTGGGTCACTGTTTAAGTTACACTGACGCAAAGGGACTGGAAACCATATTGAGATATCCTGTCCTAATTGAAAGCAGTGATGCATGGAAGTAATCAAACTTAAAGCCCAACCTTGCAACAGCTAGTATTGGGGACAATAACGATGCCAATGTGAAGACAATAGATGGCAAGGAAACCCTGCATGTGACTGAGAGGCATCCCTTCCTGTTATATATTCCTGGAGATAGAAGAATGTTAACAATTTGCCTGTGACATTATGTATTGGCCATGAATGAACAGTCAGATTGAAGATGTAGTCTCTGTGTTCAGAGTATCAAGAAAACAGAAGAAAACAGACAAAAGAACCCACACCTGCCACGGAAAACCATTGCAGCCGATTTGAATTGCACTGCAAGGGAACAGATTTGTTGGCGGTGACAGACTATTTTCAGATTTTATTGAAGTTAGATAACTGAAAAGTTAGAGAACTAAAAAGCAACACTCACAGCCAGTCTGTGATAAGAGAATTTGCTTAAATATTTAGTGCATATGGGATCCCAGAAAAATTAATCACAGACAATGACCCACAGTTTAATCACGTTTTACCTTTTCTAACCCCACTTGATTTTCTAAGGTTTTGGAAGATAAGTGAGAGCAGTGTGTCTCTACATGCAGGATTTATGTACAACTACATCAAAGATCCTTTGCCAATGTTGAAGATAGGCTACATGGATCCCATATCAGAGTCCCCAACAAGCAATAATGCTGTAAGGGAAACTATGATGAGGACCAAGAATATTGCTAAAGAAATGACCGGTGCTCAGATGTGACTTTGCAAGCAAACTCAAACCTGAGAGAACAGTTTCATTAGCCCTGTATGTATCAATTTAAATTATTGTTTTTCTTTTTATCAAGAGCTTATAAAACATGTGGGTATTACCTCCAATATTTCTGTGACTGTCAGTCATGGAGTAAATGACTAGGGTCATTTCACCTGGAATGAATTCACCTGGATTTTCATTCCAGATGAAATGACCCTAGGGGATTACAGAAATGATGAATGACTTGCTGAAAGGACAAGGAAAAAGCGTCACTGTACGTCAGACAAGGGACCGTGCAAAGCACTTATTGAAAATGCATAAAGAACAGGAGGCAAATTCACAAAAAGCGTGAGTTTACATTGAACCTTCCTTGATGTTTGCTTTTCGTGACATTCTATTGTTTCTTTTGCTGATCAAAATCCATTTAAACTTTTTAAAAAGTTTTTTTTAAAATGTCATCACTATCAGCATCAAAAAGAAGCGCTTGTACCACCAAATCAATAATGGAAGCCATCTTGTCACAATGGCGACCTCTATTGCTTTCGTATTCGTTGTTTGGCGTTTGCGAAACGGCCGCTACGACTTATGACATACGAACCTAGTTTTTGTACTTCGTTTTTGTTGTTTGCTAAACCTCTGTATTGACTAAGAGAAGGGAGTATTTGGTAGTGTAACTTGATTGACATGACCTCGTTGTAGCGCAGAATGTAATGTAAACGAGAGAGAACAATGTCAAGGGTGGAACGGAGAGGAATTAATTGTAGATAATAAAGTTAGAAAGTGATAATAAAGAATATGAAGGAACATGGAAGTTGTTTAGTTCTTACCTCGTGTAACAAGTAAGACAAAGTCAATAATGTCGTCACATTAGTAACACCAATAGTTTGGTGGAAAAGCATGCAAGAATCCTTGTTCATCCACCTTTTGGCAACTAATGCATGACAGCAAAACAGCATAGATACCAATGTCATGATTCCATCACTCCTTCACCACCGTCTGTTACCAGCTAGAATCAAGTAATACCTTCCCCTTGCATTTTCTGCACTGGTTCACATTCAATTTATGGATGTCCACTGCTGAATGGTTAAAACACGAAAGAAAAGATATTTGTAAGAGACAAGGAGCTGTGCTTTGCCTGTTTAAAGAAAGGACTAGTGTCTATGTGTGACATGTGCAAAACATAATAAGAGTGGTTTTCCTGCCATACATTTGCATATAGAAACTGATCATACAATTCTACATATAGATGGTGGGGGCACTGAAATTATTTTTAAGAACAAAGAACGATTCTAAGAAATTAGTTAACTTTGCGCAAAAGGAGGACAGACCCTAGACTTGTGATGATTTTGATTCAGAACTGTACCATTTCCTGAGATGGATAAACATCATCCCTACAATTCCCATAACACATATACAGATGCAAACTGATAAGTATCCACATGCATGATTTCATCCAACATTCTTATGTAGGTACTGTATTGTATATGTATCAAGTCAATGCCTAAGAATGTTGCATAACGACTAGGATATGGACAACATTTAGAAAAAATCTATAACAACTTCTCTCAGCTAATGGCACATCAATGATCTATATATGCATGTGTAAAGTCCTAATTTCTTATGAATAGGGCAAAACTGTTATACAGACCGTTATTTTGTAAGAGTCCTTTACAGCTGCTGCCTTGGGGCATATAACTATAAGTTTCACACATTTATATTTGCACCAACAATCAAAGCTCATGTCCATCCTTTTCACCCTTGAGTTTCTCTCTATTTCTTCTAGGCATCAGGATGTCTGGTAGATCATAGTAAATCCTGTCCTCATCATACCCCTGATCACGCACCCACTGCATATCTGCTTGTTTCAGGTCATCAGCAGCAGTTGTCCATATGGTGAGACTGTAGGAAAGAGACTGATCCAACAGCCATTTTAGCTGAGGCCATGATCGTCGCACAGCGATGGCACGGACAGGAAAGGTGATAGGTTGGGTCAAGTTGTTACAAATGCCAGCCATTTCTTCTACCATGGCCTGTGTGTATCCTTCATTTGTGCGGGAATTATTCCAGGCAGTTTTCCACCCTATTGATAATGTTGCCTGAGGAAAGTTTTGTTGGATAACACTGATGAATTCTGCAGCATCAACTGGTTTGCTGCCAGCTGCATTAGGTCCAACAAGTATGTCAGCATTAAGCCAAACTGGCTGCCGTAGACTGCCCCTGGATGAATTTAGAATTTGCAAACATGGTTCAACTGCTCCGATGCTTTTAAAATCTAGTTTCAGCCCTTTTTTAGTTTGAACAACATTTGTGAACCAGTTTTGAAAGGTATTATCACTGTCTATAGCTGGAGGGTGTGCCATAATAGGAATGTCTGTTTGACTAGCTGTGCCCTGACCACGAAGTAAGATGTCCGCCTCCAACATCATGACATCACCTGAAATTGATAGCCCAATGATAACTATTACATGGACAACCTTTGTACCATAGAAAAATAAGATCTTTAAATTGAAAAAACAAAAATCAATTGTGTTGAAAAGTGCACAACTGACAGTAATTTTTTTTTTTTTTTTTTTTGCCTAAGGTTACTGCCCATATTGAATTTTTTAAAAAGGAAGTGTTAATGTACAGCTGCAGAACAACTATCAACTGCTGATAAGTAAATAAACTGGTTTCCAAATAATCAGTGCTTACTTTTCAAAGCCATTTCCATGTCTGCTATACTGTTAGCAGCATGAGCCCATGTGATATCAATAGCATCTCTGTCTTTAACATCAAAGAAGTTGAGGGGACTTCCTGCTGTCACAGATAATTCCTGAAATTCTTTAAACTTGGTTCCTGGTAAATCATAAAAGATCTTTTCAATATACCAATTGTTTCGAACATAAAGTAAGTCGTATAAATCTGTTCCTTCTTTGTCTGTTACTCCTGAAGGGTTCCAAACTGTCAGCGTAAAATTGGAGTTCTGGCTCAGCAACCACTGAAACACACAATAAGAAGAATTAAGCTTTATTTAAGTGAGGCATATTTATTAAGAAAAATTATATACGGATGCCTTATGCTAAAATTTCATAAGTATTTTCATTTTTAACAATACACCATTTAAAATATAAGCTTACTTTTAAATTGGGCCAAGCATTCTTCACAAGAGCTGCTCTGACTGTTATAGACACTGGCTGCTTAAGGTTCTTAATAAGAGAATACATTTCCTCCATCATGCTTTGTGTGTAAGAAGTTTGAGAAGAGTCAGATGCCCAAGCTACGGACAATGTCACTGCAGGATAGATTTGGTCAATTTGTGAAAACAACCTGTAAAATAGCAAAGGTTATCAAAAGAAGGAAACAAGATTATATAATATGTGATTGTTGACTTTCTGAAAACATGTCAAAGTATGCTATTTTCACGTTCAACTTGATAACAAGGTAACACACTTGTTTTGATACATTTGACACCTTTCACATGAAACATGGAAGCGCTGAAAATATCATTCAATCAAAACTGTTTAGAACCCAATACTCAAAACTTTTTCATATTTACCAGGTATATATTTATACACAAGCAAAAATGTGAGAATGAGAGTTTTGTTCTTACTGCATAGGATTAATCATAGTTTTGTTGGTTCCGGGACCTAAAAGTATGTCTGCATGTATCCAAACTGGTATCACTATACTATCCTTCATGGCTTGCAGAACCTTTAACGTGGGTCCAATAACTTTGTCATGCTTCATGTTCAACTTGACACCTGTAACGAAAATCAAAATAGAATCCTAGAAAAATGTCAAAAGAAGTGTGAAATGTAGCTTAGATGCTAACCAATAGAATTCAAATATATAGGAACAGATACAAAATCTGTTATTAAAAAACTTAAACCAAGGAAAACAATCTGATGGGTATCACATCTGTATGTGACTCATATGTTCCGAATTAAATTGGACTGAGTGTGGTCCTCCACACGCCCTCCTCCAACGTAAATCTAAAAATAAAAATATGCATTATCAACATACTGTGCAAATGACAACTGTACCTTTTTTCCTGCCATTCAGATTAGCATCTAAAATGGCTTCCATCCACTCTTGCAATGTATTATCCCTTGCCACAGATGGCACAGTAGTTTCATCTTGACCACTTGGGCTTCCTCCCAATGTGACATCTGCTTCCAACATCATGGCATCACTACTCAAGACATCTTCCATCTGCTTCTTTGACATATCCCCATTGTACCATGTGACTGCAAGACCATCTGTTACATTGAAAAACTGAAGTGTATCCATGCTGGCAAAAGGCTGGCCACCTGAAAATGAAGATACTATATTGCAGATTATAACATCTGTAAGACTGCTTGCTTAAATATTTTTAAGAGTGCACCATGAGAGCTTAACTGGATGTAATGAGATCCCATGACACAAGCAACTATGCATCATACTCACGTGCATCACACCCAGGAAATATATCCATGTACTCCAGTATCAGAAGCTTCACTGAGGTTTGGCACATTTTACTGTTATAAATTATGTGACACATGCACTCATATTCAGAACTTCTGATAAAGGTATGAAGAGTCAATACTGGCCTAGAACTATTACTGGTATTGTTCTCAAAAGAGTAATACCTCCCAAGTTAGATATATTATAGTTATATTATTATTAGTTTAGAATATCAGCCAGCTTCTTTATTTTTTTACTATGAACCCTGCTTGTCAAATAAAGTAATGTATGGCACACTGATGTGGATATTTGGAAATGAAGAGGCTGGAAAGCATTCAATTGGAAGCTGTATGTGTATCTAGTTGTGACTTAATGCAATAGTTCTATACTGTTCTTACTCTGAACAATCCTCTTCTTAACAACAACAAAGGCAGCCACCAATATGATACAAATTACAAGAAGCAGCAGTGCAACTCCAACGCAACAAAAGATCCGTTTTCTGTTGCAAGTTGAAGCATATCTTCTCTTTCTGATATCTGTAAAAAAAAATACTGGGAGGGTACATGACAGTGTCAAAATTATTATAATTTTAACAACTTTACAACTGTACAAGACATGGAATTACAATGAAGTTTTGTTATGTACACTATATAGGTCTCTAACACTGATATTTTCTACAGGTAAGTAAATGAGTACTTGCAAAGTGAACATTTTGTGTAATATTTGCATACCTGCATACTGCGGATAAACGAATACACTTACCAACTGCCATCAGAAGGCAACATATCGCCCCACTGATATCGCCCCGTGTTCTACAAGGCATGCATTTCAACTTCCTGTTACAGCTACTTCACACATGCGCATTATACACGGCCGATGCTACCCAACCTCCCACCCACTTCGACGTCAACACACCTGTTAGCCTACAAATTCGCGTAAGGAAACGCGTTTAACGAGGTTAAAGAGATAATAGCTGTTTGCTCTGGTAAAAAATACGGATTTTCCTAGGGTATATGACGATTTCCCATACTTACCAATGGTTATTGAATCCATTCCAACATTCAAAATTAGTCCACGTTGTTTTTCTAAAAAGTCTGGTCAGATATAGCCTACATGTGGCATGTTTAGAACAAAGGAGCTGAGGGATTCAGCTGCAATCTTTTTCATAAAAATATACCTTTTAAGTGAAAATGAAATACAAAATCCTTCCTGTCGTAGTTGCCCGGTTTTGTTGTCTATCCTGCTGTTGTAAATATAAACTTAGATGGTCATTTTGTCTTCTAAAATTAGCGGATTTTTTCTGAAAGTATGGAATTGCCTCTACTCTTTGTAATTTGAAATCTTGACGGTTAATTATTCTTCAATCACCACTGCTCAAAGTGGGTCAAGTTTGAGTGGCCAGCTGGTGCTCACGTGATACCCCATTTTGCTAAGCCTGCCTGTTGTTGAGCAGTGGCGGATTTAGGGGGCTATCAGGGTGTCCTGACCCCTTCTGATCTCTGAAAAAAATCTTACCAATGGTTCCCTCTTTAAATTAGAATTTTGACTAGCTGAATCATATTTCTAAACCATACCAAATAAAAAAGGGAGGGGGCGCAGTCGGCTTCGCATCCCCGGACCCTACCCCTCACCCCCACCCTCTCTTCAAATATTCCGAGATCCGCCCCTGCTGACGTAAACAATGCTCGGAATTAACTGAAGTATCTTTGACAAAATAGTGCAATGTCTATATATTGTGCAAATAGAGAGTGTTGTAATGAACATTTTCATACATATGGGACGAATGTCCTAATCTTATATAATTTTAGTACTCTTGTGAAACTTCAAGCGAAACTACCTCCGTCTCCGCGCTCCGGCTCTCCCGATCTCCTTAATAAATATTGTATATACCATTATAAGTAATTAAAGTTTGCGTGCATCGAACATAGATAAGAAATAAATATATAAGCGATAGGAATAGAGATCCGAGGGAGGGAAGAGACGAGTAGGAGGAGAGGAAGAGATCGGTAGAGCCGGAGCCTTACACTATGTCCGGCAGATACCGGGCATCGACGCATAAATCGTTTACAGGTCATTGTGTGGACTTGGGTTTTCTTTGTTCGACCTTACGTAAATCTGACACGAACTTTAGATTGCGTTATCTGCTATGCAAGTCGAAAACAAATTGTCCTATTTCGAGTCAACGCTTAAATTAAGCGTACTAAAATTATATAAGTTTAGGACATTCATCCCATATGCATGAAAAGGTTCATTACAGTGTGTTTGGTTTTCCTTTAGCCAGAGATCAAGGGAATTGTGCCTCTATATTAAACCATTGTTGTGCTTCTTGGGGATGGCTCAAAAACAGTTGCGCAGGGGTTACATTTTTTTTTTATAAAGGGAGGTAGAAACATAATTTTGTATAGATTTGTATAATTGTTGTTAAGTTGTTATGACTAGTGTAGAGAGCCTGTAAAATGTAATGTGTATGCATTTTAGTGCTCAATAAAGATTATTACATAATGGCCTACTAATTAATTTACTCATTAATTGTGTTTAGGGTAGGATCTTTGGAGATTAATTTGTTTATGGTAGGAGACCTATGGAGACTTTTCACATGATAAAGCCTACTCAGAATAGTCGTAAGGCAGACGAAGCTCATCCGCGAACAAATCCCTGTAGGCCTATACTAAGAACAGGTCTGATATTAGTGCAAACTATATCTACGTAGGCTATGATCTCTGTTACTTATCAATTTTCGGCCACGATCGCTGTTACTTATCCATTTCCCCTCTCATCGGATGCTCTCCTACTTTAATTAGATAATAATATTATCAAACTGAGAAGGAAGCGATTAGACTGACTCAATATGATAAGAGTTTTAAAAATTAATTTCGTATTATAAAGATTCTTTGTGTTTTTTTTAACAATAGCTTCGTGCCTGAAGTAGGATCCTTTTAACAGCGAAAATTGGTAGGAAATTATTATTGATATCAAATATTGTAACAAAAATGACCCTTGACGAAGTGTGGTGTCCAGTTAGCTCGGGCCGACAGTATAGGAAACGCGGAGAAACCCGACAACAGTGTCGAAGTTAATAACCAACAATAAAAATAGATCAAAGATTATATTGTAAAGAAAATATTGGAAATTATTTTATTTTCCACAAGTAAAAATGCATGTAACAATATATTTCATGTCAAGATGTAGCAAGCCCTATCGTTTGACAGGGAGCATTGATCTGGTAACGGTGGTTAGTCCAGATCTGACCTCTACGTTTGTATATTAGATGTCCATTTTCATCATTGACGTTATTTTTAATAGAATACTGTCTAATATTAGATGTCCATTTTCATCACTGTTGTTATTTTTAATAGAACAATTCAGTTAAGTTCAAAATGAAATGCCATCAATCAAGCGCCAAACAAGCCATAGATGGAATCCATAACGCTCCTGAAATACCCGGTGGACTGGAATATTCTCTGAACGGCGTCGTTGTTGGGGTTTCCTTGCCTCCCGTCCCACTTCAGCTTCATACAGCGGTTGGAGTCCGTGGAGTAGTCGAGTGATAGCGCCCACATTTTTTGGCACAGGCCCCTGCCGTCTTTGTATGTCTGAAGGACAAAAAAAATCATAAATGATTTGTTTAAAATTAGAAAAGACATTCCATATGAGAGAGATAGGTAGAGCGAACATAATCTAATGAAACTTCACTTTATGCTTATGCAGTTGCTACATGGTAAATGCATGCTTTCATGCAATGTAAAATTTTTTGACTCAAAAGTTCATTTCTTAGGCTGCCAAATAAGAAATACGAAAAAAAAAACAACTTGCAGTTGGCCAAATAAGCGTTTTGAGGTTTGAACGGTAGCCTCTTAGAAATATGATTGACGGTGCTTTTTGTGCAGTTGGAGTAAAACAAAACATGCCGAAGATTTATGGTAACTTCAAGCTCAGTTCACTACGTAACACCTTTGCTAAATTTTTACACCATCATTTAACATAAACAGACTACAGTTGTCCAGAAATTAAAGAAATTGTATGTGAAAAGAATCAGGGCAATAACTTTTCTCTGACCACATGGTCACCTAGTAGTCTGTTATAAAATTATTGTATCGGTCTTATTCATCAATTTCGTATACTGTATGAACATGAGAGATCTCGGAGGGAAGGTTAATACAGTTTCGGGGCGATGTTCAAAAACTGATATGCATTTCGACAAACTGTTTTGAATGCACGGGGAGCATTAGCCATCAAAGAAAAACTGTCCAAAACATTTCTAAAATATGTCCAGGTAGAATATCAACACCGTTTTTCACTTTTAATTTGCTTTTTTTTCGCTTTGTTCTCGACACGATAAAAATAGATAAAGATCTTCTCATGACACCCATCTAATTTCAGTCGTTGGGAACGGAGTTTCACTTATAACAAGAAATTTTAATCTTTGATCGCCATAGATGGGTGGTTTATTGACATACATTATATAAGCACTATTAAAAAGAACTAGGGTCGCGACCTTCAGAACCACTCCCTCTTCGGAAGCAATCAGTATATGTAAAGAAATAATTGATAACGAGGGTGCATTTGGTTTGAAACTGGGATCTCATGTCGAATAAATAAATATGTGGAACACCCTAGATCAAACGAGTACAATACTGTTATGATAAAGATAAGGAACGAACTAGAACAGATGGGTGATAGCAAAATATACATGTATGATTGACTTTTTAATTCATATTAACACATTACTCCAGAATAAGATGATTTGAAGTCTGTAGTTATATAGGAATATAATTGGAGTTCGAATAAAGTAAATATTTTGTACTACCTCTCTCTAAGACCCCATTCCCAGAGATTAGATCGATCCAAACTAGATCGACCTAACTCCCTGGGGGTTCACGCTAAATAGCTGTCAGCCGAGCGGGCACGAAAGTTAATTACCCCCTTACAGCTTGTAGTAGGCAGGACGGACATTTAAGCCGGATTATCTGACAGTAATCTAGTGAGACTCCCCACGGGGATAGATCGATCTAAAATCTATGGGAATGCACCCTAACTGATGATAAGTATAAATCTTTTTTTTTTTCTTTTGTGCCACTTAAAACAAATAAATGACCATTCTCTTGTTGCTCTTAGTGTCGCACTGCGTCACTAACCTACCTCAGCGAATGTTTTACAGGGTCCTTTGCACTGCTTTTCCCCAGACTTTGTGAAGTTCCAATCAGTTAGCCAATTTTCGGCGCACGTGAAATCATCTTTACAGGCATCAAACCAGGCGTCGCAGTCCGAGGCACAGATAGGGACACGAACCGTAGCGGCGGGATAATTTGGGCTTGCCCAGTGTACAATGTTGGGAGAGCAGCGATAGAAGCACTCTGTGGCCACCATATGCCGTTCGCATCTGAAGGAAAACGGAAGAGCATTGCTTCATAAAAACTTCAGAAAATTTTATATGGAGAGAAAGGGGACCTCTCACTCCACTTTTTGACCAGTTTACATTAAAAGTTATCTTTTCAAAATACATGTACATAACCAATTTATATTTGTAATCTTCGTTTCCAAATTACCATTTTTATGCCTTGAAGCACCCTCTTAAGGTAGTCCTCTCNTCAGAAAATGAAGACAGTGCTTAACGATTTACTCACCTAGCGCTCAGTTGTCCACAAAGGTTCCAGTTAGTGTCTCCTACTTTTGTGATCGGTGAGGCAGCTAGCTGTCGTGTAAATTGGGGCGTGCAGCAGGCGCTGTTTCTGTAGGTGCGGCACGCTCGAAGATATGGTTCTGGGCCAGGTCTGCTTTTGTGATTCACACCGGCCAAACACTCGTCCCTACGTTGAAAAGTTGCCGATGACAGTTGGGCCGCAGCGGCAATGACTGCTAAAACGTAGAAATACTTAATGCTTGACATGTTAAAGAGACTTCTGTTTCAAGATGATCTGTCCAATTGTCGTGCTCTGATGATCTGATGCAGGTGCTTCTCAGCGGCCTAATATATATACCCGTACCCCTAATATCGGGGGATCAGGGTTCAATGTTACAAAACTATTGACGTAACGAATCACGTTTGTAAGCATGAGGGTTTGTTAAGATTTCTTCTAGACCCTAGTTGTTTTGTTTACTCGGAAGATTACTTTGTTTGTGTTTATAATCTTATTGCGTCGTGCTGACATTTACATGGCGCGATCATCAGTGGACGGTGATCGCAGTTTTTACCTGCAGTTTCATCACCTTGACTTTTGGTCTTATGGAATGTCTATGGCCTCAACAGCTTGCACCCAAACAAGTTCCTTTATTTAACGATAAAACTTCAAATTAAAATGTTGAGAAAGAATAACATAAACACAGAAAATATTGTAAAAGGTTTTAATATTTCGAGCACAACAAGCTACCAAAAGTGAAATCGTCATGTGCTATAACAGTTCAAATGGAATTAAATATATTCTGTCTCATAACGATAAGTACGCATTACCGCCTATGCTGCATTTTAACGTTAAAACAAGTAATAATGAGATTCAAGCAGCTGCGATTTATGCAAAATTTGCAAGTTATATAACCTATCTACTAAGAACATTTGGCGTGCTTAAAGGTCCAATTCGAAACAATCTCCTTCTTCAATGACAATTCAAAGCAGATAATGATAATATAATGCCTTTTAAAGGAATTTAAAAAAAAAACACAATCGAAAAGTAAGCAAATCATATAATACTACAAAGAGTAAGTGCGCCAACAAATCAATTTTGTCAAATATGCACTACGGTTAATTGGGCTGTCGGTTAATTGTTCGTTTTAGGTGAAAACCAAACATCGGCTGTTACATGGACTACTTCCTGAGGAATAAGTATATCCTAAACAAATGATCTCTTAGAAAAATTTAAAAAAGGACGAAATTGCAACCGCGCAGCTAATGAGAATCAAATCAGCAAAAGCAGTTTTCATGACAGTGCTCCATCCTCAAGAGGTCGTAGTAATAAACAAATGAACTCTCAGTAAAATTAAAAAAAGGACGAAATTGCAACCGCGCAGCTAATGAGAATCAAATCAGCAAAAGCAGTTTTCATGACAGTGCTCCATCCTCCAGAGGTCGAAGCGAATATTTTCTCCACTGCTGCATTATTTGGGTTGTCTCCTGCGCTCCACTGGAGTTTTATACATTTATCAGCGTTTCCTTCATAGAGGAATGTTGAGCCCCACATTTTCTCGCACAAACCTTTGCCATCCTTGTAAATCTGGAGAAAATATGAAGATTAAAAAAAAAATTGATGACTTTCATAGGCCTATATCAAATCTACAGGTATGTCACGATTATTTGTGCGCAACATACGTTTTTGCTATTGTTGTGATAAATATTTCTTCATGTAACTAGAAGTCATATCTTAATATACATTGGCATACCAGACATTTATAAAGAGTCACAGTAACCTCAAGGGACGGATTGTCCTCTGACTGCAATTAGAAATAATGTTTGCGAACAAGTCACGGTGATATCTGTTCACAACCATGTCATCGTGACCGGGTGCGGGTTAGGGACAAGGCCAAATCTGCGTCTCGTCTCTTTGTATCTGTTGTGTGACTGTCAATAGCTGTGCTTGCGCCACGTGACGTTAAAAAATTACACTTACTTTATAAAATACGCTAATGCTTAAGTGGGATTTTGAATAGTCTAACAATAAAGTTACTTCTGCAGTTTTTAATAACGGCAGGGTAGTGTTGATGTTAAATGATAAATCATATTATACTAGGACTTTTTTCCCCTGTTGCAGGAATATATATCGCAATTCAATGTTTTTGTTTCACTGGTTAAATATCTACCTCTGTAAATGATTTGCATGGCATTTTACAGTGGTTTTCTCCTGGTTTAGTGAAGTTCCAGTCGGTTAGCCAGTTGGTTGCACAGGTCATGTCATCCTTGCATGCTTCAAACCATGCATCGCAGTCTTCGGCACACACAGGCACGTGCAACGCTGCAGAGGGGTGGTCTGGGTTCTTCCAGTAGATGGCATTAGGGGAGCACCGGTAAAAACATTCAACTGACAGCTTGTATTGCTCACAACTGAAAATGACAAGAATTAACTCCTCAGTTATATAATTATTATTGTTATGCAGGGCATTACTGCTGTGCAGTTAGAAAATGTTCGGCTTTCTGGGATTCGATGACCCTACACACATCTTTAATTCACGTCATATGGATATTGGTGTAACACCTGTAATCACGTGTTTCGTGTTTTAAGCTAGACCTACATGTTACACTGCATGTTTGTCCTAAAAGCTGTAAATGGAATAATACTATATGAATATACCGGGCCTAGGATCAACATACATTAATTAGGTGGCCCGTGCAACGACTAAGGGTTGGGAAGTTTTACTCTACCAGAGTCCCTTTTTAGCTTTTAGTATTTCCAAATCGATTAAAGCCTCCCAAAAAATTCTGTAAAAACTAAAAGAGAGTAGGAGCGACTTACCTGCGGCTTAAATTCCCACACCTATTCCAGTACGTGTCTTCCACCTTGACAATGGGCGAGGCAGAGAGTGTTTGCGTAAACGCCGCTGTACAGCACGAGTTATTCTTGTACTCATGGCATGCCCCGAACGTCCCCTCCTCGGGCCCAGGGGTCCTTTTATGATTATTTCCAGGTAAACATTCGTTTTTACGTTCAAATGCCGATTTCACAACTGTGCTGACAGACAGGATAAAACACAACTGTGTAAAATACATGATATCACCTCTCGTTGGCCACTAGTACTCATAAACACGTGCACGTACGGTACAGTTGACTACTTACAGATGTACCACGCTTTGTTAACAACCCTTAACAAAAAGACGAAAGTTAAATCGAGGCTCAATGTGACCTTCTTTAATGTATTTTGAAATACTCCTACCGTATGGATGTAAAATCAATCAAATGAAATGAAAATGAGATGATAAAGCCATGCACAGCGACTTTTTTCAAACAGCATACAGGAAATCATGTTATACTAGGACCCATCAAGTCCTAGCATTTTTACTAGTTATTATCATCTTGGACCCCGAAATTCCATTAGGTGACTCACAGTTTGAAAGCTTCTAGCTGAAGATGACAATAAATTGTATGTATATATTTCACACACACAAAGTAAAATAACAGATTTGCGCACTTCAACTACATTGTTTATAGATTTAATAAAAGGTGGAAATTGAGCTAAATCAACAAAGGTTGATTTACTGGGTAGGGAATAGGGCAAAAGGCGACCCTCCCTTCATAAAGCACATTTATGGACTGTTACTAAACAAGACAAAAGACTGTTCAGATGCCCTTAACACTCTACTAAAACATCCCCTTAACAAGCCCTTTCCCTTCCCCACTTGTTAATATTCTGGATTGGCCAGTGAAATGTGTCACAACTCAAAAGTGACAGAAAAATTTGATAAATGACATAATATGAGGAGAGACATAAATAGCAGAAAGCACATGTTAAATTCAAATAATTATATTATTGAACAAAACTTAACTGTCTGTTGTCTTAAGCGCAAAAGCATCAACTATTAGAAATTCATAAAATATATTTTTATTAATACTTTTTTTGTTAAACCTTTAATCTAAATTTTTTGATAATTCTGATAGTAATAAATAAGTTCATAATTTAAATGTTGACAAAAAAAAATTGTGATCATACATTGAAATACTGTGATTGCTCATTTTGTTATCTCGTGTCATGTCCCACAATATCAAATCCTGTCTGTGTAAATAGACATGTATGGTCCTTGAACTGTATACATATAATGAAATGCAAATGTTTTATCTGTTTCAGCCACCCTCAGTGGCCTATCCTTGGCTTATGGTATTTATATAGCAAACAAATCCCCTTGCTGCTGTCTGTTACTCCTGATAAAATTTGTTTTGTCTGACTTCTGATATGTCAAACATTAAGTTGTTTTTGACTAATTTCTATTCTCGGTTGAGTATATTATGCAGTCAAAATGTCTAACACAGTTCCCAATGAATTGTCTTTATTTCTTGCTAGATGAGGCAGCTGTTTTTGTATTAACAACGTTGAATCGTTTGGGTTCAACATTTCCTGCTGCCACAGCAACCTCCTGCTCGATGCCTTTTTTTATTTCTTTTTCAAGACTCTGGAAAAAATGAAGGGCAAGTTGGTTAATCATTGATTAAAAAGTGAATCTTTATTTCAACCTACATGGTAACACCCACTTATTAATACATCAAAACTACTTCAACTACATTGTGGTAGTTGTACTACGTCTGAATCAAGAATCACAACCTTTCTCCTCCAACTTCAAGGCCACATGCATTCATTCACACATTAACATCCAATTGATTCTTTTTAAAGATTTATGAGATTTCTACTCATATTCACTACAGAGACAAAACTGTGCACTATCTGTCATAAATATATAAGTCATATATCTATCAACAGGTCACAAACCTTTTTTAGTTTTGCTGCCTGCACATGTCTTGCCTTTTTTGGTGCTATGCTCATACCTATGTTAAAGAAAAAAAAAATACATATCATAATTCATATTTATGAACAATAATGGTTATACTTAACAAACAGTATGTGACACTTAAATAAAAACACATTCCAGCTTTTTTAAAAAAAAAATAAAGGCAAAGATAGCACTGTTCACTAGGTAACATTCAGATATCCTAGCTGCTCTGTACTCTGCAGCCCATTTCAAGCACCAGCAGCTTTCTTTTATAGTTCACAGATAATATGCACACCAGGTGTTCCATTATGTTCTTAACATAGACACATTCAAGTTAATAAATTCCCAGTGCAGTTCAAAGATAATAGATGGAACTAAATACAAAAAGAATCAATAAATTTTCAGCATGGACTTCTACTTCTAGAAAATTAACTTTTTTGTCCTTAATGCTGGATAATATATATTAATAACAAGCATCCCCACAATAGCTTTCGGATTTGGTTTCTGTCACTGAAGCATTTGGCATATATCAGTGTTGCAGATACCTGCGAGTTCAGTAAGGAACTGGATGATACCCCAAGCTAAGCGTTAGCGAAACAACTGCCAAGAAATGAACGAATGTCACAAAATAAGGTGACTATCACTGTACTTAGCATACCAAGACAAAATAGAAGAAATTATTTGACAAGGTAATTATCACCAAGCCTTCTCTTATAATTGTAAAAGTGAAAAATTCATGACAGAGAAAGAGAGAGAGAGAGAGAGGGGAGGATGTTTTTTTTTTTCGTGTGGTTCATGCATTGCGCAGTTATGTTCTATAGAATGCCATCCTTTTCATTATGATAATATTTCATAGCAAAGCTAAATATTTGCGTGATCTTCCTCATTTCAGAAAGACCAGAATTACACAATATAATCTTTGATTAGGGAGGGGGTAGTGCATACTTTATATAAGCAGGTGCCTCATGAAACAACAATACACTTAACAGCTTCAAAGACATCTGATCATATATTACAAACCAGAGGCAAAAATGCTTGAGAAGACTTACTAATACCAATCTGTAAAGAAGGCAAGAAAATTCCACACAGTAAAATGCATATTTGGTTAAAGGCAGGTGTTGAATCGGAATTATTTGTGTGAAATATTCCATGAGCATATATCCCTCTCCCCCCATGTCCAATGGGAAATTTCAAAATTCAATATTCTTTACCATTCAATGCAATGGAGTCTGAATGTTTTCGGGCATGAAAATTAGAGTAATGGTTAAACAAAACAATCTTAGATAAAAAAAAGTTATACCTTCTATGCCTTTAACTATAATGCATGACAGATAGCACAAAGTGGGTTAATTCATGGTTACTGTGCCCCAATGAGTTAACACAATGAACAGTCCATCATAATACAAGGTCTAAAGCAGCTGGCAGCATATAACCTACTTCTAACAAAGAAATGTACAAAAAATTTAATTTCCGCCAGGTGTGTTCTGCTTCACAAAACACAAGAAATGAAAGTATTATCATTTCAAATTGGAAAATATGCTTCATGCAATAAAATAATTAATCAAAGGTGCTCAGTGCATTATAGTCAGGTTGACAACAGAATCTAAATCAATAATGGGATGCTCACATGAAATAAACACATTTGTCTGATATTGTGCACAATACACGTACCATTCTGCAAAATTCTGACTACAAAAGAACAACAAACCTCCTCTTTATTGTCAAAAGATTTCTCCCTACCCTGCTATCAGAAAATATATGGATACGTCTCATATTTCATCAACGCAGCTTAATGGCATTAATCTTTTATTTCCATACATAATTTGGAATCCATTTTGTGTCTGTCAGTGAATGATGTGCATGTGAAGGACTTTGGAGCACAGGTTACTGAGCAGCCAGGCACTGTCTGCTTCCAGGATGTTGAATTAAAAAATACTCAACAGCGGGTTACAAGTTAAGGCTTAATTGGCTGCCTTCTCCTGGGGCAGTATTGTCAGATTGTTTCTTATAGTTTGTTTAGGCAGCCTTTAAATGTTGCTGTCTGCAGCATATTGAAGTCTAAGAATACATCTACTGTCCATGTGTGTCTGATCAATTGATCAAGGCAAGGTGCTTGCTGGCTTAACAAGTGAGATAATCCAGGAAAACTGGTTGCAGTTCTCCACCTGCTTCTGTATGTGGACATAAAAACACAGCATGGGACTGTTTTCACACTAAGATAAGAAGGATACTTTCATAGTTTTTTCTCATTGAGAGAGATAACTTTTATATAAAGTATTGGACAGCAGACAAAACAGCATAATATAAATAGGATAAATCCCAGACGGAGGTGCTTCTTTTTTAGTCTGAAAAGGGCACGAAAATAAGAATTCTGAGTAAATAAACCCTGGGAATAAATTTCTAATATGCGGCACAAGCATTAGCAGTGGTTTAGAAGTGGATAATACACTACTTTATTTGGAAACCAAGAGATTTATACTCAGCAAAGGTTCAATTTACAGACACTGGGAAGGTCACAGAAGGCAAGTCAAAACAGCAGCTTCAGTTTAAAGAGCACGTACTCTTGAATAGGACTTTTTTTTCATTGCAAACCTAAACCAAGTAGGACGGAAAATGGCCTCCAAAGCATGTAGGTCTTTGGATCTGGAGTACAAGAACTTTAAGCATGATCTGCAGAAAGCATTAGATAGTGACTGGGATTCGGCTGATGACCTAGATATTTACGATTGGTTGGACTTAGCTGATGAGAACCGAGATGAACATGGTGATTCAGAAGTATTCTTAAATGATGATGACAATTCAAGGTGAGTGTTGGGCAATACACTTAACCAGCTGGGTATATAAGCCCATGACTCTAGGAGATAGTTCAAACTTTGGGCACAGAAGTAGAGATCATACATCAAAATCATACTTTTAATATTATTTACATGAAACTTTATATCGATGTATTGAAATAATAACTATGGGAAAAAAGTCCTTAAACAGACATTACATACATGATGCAGACATTTTGAAAGGAATATAACATGCAGATAAATCAAATTACACAAAGGGAACAGTAAATGAAATAGTGCCCTTTTATTTTATATGGTGTGATAAAACTATCAAAATGTATAATTTTCAATTTTTTTTTCTATCACTTCATGAAAATATATAGAAAACAATTGAAAAAACATTTTGATCACTGCATCTTATTTCATCATAAAAATCTTTATTCAAAGTTATTGATCATTAGTTCATTTGGATAAAAAATGCAACCTATTCTGTATGCCATTTAATCACTTTGACATTAACAATGACTGATGTTTAATTTTTGTATGTCTGCCACATATAAATGAGAAAATCGAGATCGAGCACGCATATCAATAAACGAGACTAAGTAACTGAGGAAAGAGATGCCAGCAAGAAAGTAAATGATGAATACAAAGAACCCATACAAAATTTATCATTTATTAGCAGGATAATTAAAATTCTCTATAAGAAAAAGAAAGTGTAATATTTCACTGAAGGTAAGTTGACCAATGGATTCCTTAAAAAATACACTTTGTTTTAAACAAATTAAGGCATTATTAAATCATGTTTATAAGAAATGGGGATTAATGATTAAATACTATTCTATTACTGTTCAGCTTAAGTAACTCCACATTAGGTTGAACAATTTTTTTATCCAAAGCTTACATAGCCTTACATATTTCCTTTCTTTTTTTTCTGCACACTTCCATCATAATGAACAACCACTATTGCCAGGTACAATGTAGTTTGGCACTTCATTAAGTCTTCAGGAATCATTTTTAAGTAAGTTTTATGTAATAGTAGCCTTACATCAGCAATATACAATCATGTCTTCAAGTGTGAACTTTAAATGTGTGATCTTTATCTTTTGTATTAAAAAATTTTCAGCTTGTGAAATCAACAATCTGGTTTCAGAAAATTACAATGAGAGAACACCCCATAATATGGATTTTTATTACTCCTTCTACACTTCTCAATACAGCCAAATTTCAATCTGATTCTTGCATTCAAATGTTAACACTAACTGCATTTTCATGATCATTTTTTAGATTTGATCGTTTCCAGAGAAAATCATTACCACATTCTCAGAGTCGGGCCTACCCAACTACCAGACTCGGCACCGATTGATCCTGAATTCACCGGTAGATCACACCACACAACCCATTTTCAAGGTGTATGTCAGATCGCATTACACAATATCAGACGCGACATCGCTTATGCCTAGTACGCGATGTGATAGTGACGATTCTCAGCAGGGTTGAAAAGCATTACATCACCACTCAAAATTTGTTCAGGGTATGATACTGTGTAATGCGATCTGACACACACCTTGAAAATGGGTAGTGTGGTCTGATCTACCGGTGAATTCAGGATCAATCGGTGCCAAGTCTGGTAGTTGGGTAGGTCTGAGAGCTAGTACACATTAACAACAAAGTCTAACAATGACTATTAATAACGGGCCTATGTGTACTTAATTTATGATACAAAATTTGACCTTAAATTATTGTAATAACTTCTCATACTGGAATATAAACAAAATTTTTTTATCACATAATAATTATAAATGTATAATAATAAAAGAAGAGATGGTCTAAATATAGAGCCACAAATAATAAATTAAAAAAAAAAAACTACAATCAATGCAATTTAGTGTATAAATTCCTCTGGTGAGATTAGGTCGCATGCCCTTATTTAAAAGTAATAACTAACAGGATATGTCATATTTTACTAGCTCCCTTCTCCTCTCCCTTCAAGTAAATGGGACTGTTAGTGATACCGTGTTTTAACTTGCTATTGAACACGTGTTGAATGTTTAGATGGTTACTTATTCAAACGAAGCTTTCAGGTGGTGTTTACGGAACCCCATATACTGTCGGTGTACAGATAATACTTACACCCCTTCTTCAGAACGCCAGATTTCTTGTGATGTTTTTGTTTTCCTCGTGTTCCTGCAGGCAACTGTACTTTCGTCTTCAGCTTGCCCTGCGCCATGTTGGAATAGTTCAATTAGTAGGTGTGTGGGTTTTCATACCTTCACTGCCCTTTCATCTTATCGAGATTATACAAAGTAGGCAGATATGTGTGAGTGAGCTCGAATAAGTTGTTTAAATAATTTTGAGTTTTTGAACCCTCAGAGGAGAGATATTAATACTGCTGATTTTGTGAAAATATGCACGCCTCCCCCCTTTTCAAAAATATGTCAAGTAACCCAAAATAAATAGGTCAAGCGGTCGAGCATGCTGTAAGTGCACCAGGAAGGCGGAAGATTTGACTGACAACAATTTGTCGCAGAGCAGCTACAAGTAAAGGGAAACTACAGGGTATAGAATTTTTTATTCCTTTCTATCACAAATCGTATTTTCCTTCAAGTGATCTGTACCTATAACCAGGCGATTTAGGTGAAACGAGCGGCGTTTTAAAAGTCGTCCACAATCACCCCGTGTTTCAGCGGTCACAGCTAGGTAACTTACCTTACTAATACTTGTATACGGTACTGTTTCCAGTTATTGGCAGTGGCTTTGTGAGTTTTCCTGAAATTGGACTGTGTTTGAGCACGTGGAAAAGGGCGGCCGAATTCTTTCAGGCGACTTGGGTATGTTTTAAAAACGTTATAATTAACCATGATAGTTCTTCCATGGTTGAACACTATTCTGCCAGCTAGGTTTCATGTTATTGCATTTACATTGTAGTTGAGAAGGTTGTAATTATATGAACCGCCAGAAATATATAAGTGAATCAAAGTTTAGGTTAAACAATGTTTAGCCAGGCCAAGCTTGCCTAGGTAAATGACAGATAATTAGGTAATATGACAAGTAATTATGTTATGCATAGATTATATTTAGAAATGATATGGTTTATATATATATTATGATATGGTTTATATATTCAACACTGTTATTGTTAAATTATAAAACCATTCAATCATGCTATTCAAGTCATTATTTTCAGTTTCACCACGCTGACATAATGACTAATGACGTGATTTCGAGACACATTTATGTGTGTTTCTTGCTTATTTTTAAAAAAATCATTTATTTTCAACAACATAAGAAAATACAAACTTTTCAAATTAAATTCCCACATAATATTTTGGTATAGGCATCGGTCATAATCATTTTGACCATCGTGGCTTTTATTAATTGTGAATGTCAGTGAAACAATTGCAGGTGGTGTATTATCTGGTACTCTATGCATATTTATAGATTAAATTGATGTCAGTGTCTGGTGTCCAAAAAAATCCATAGCAGTATCTTTAACATAATCTATGTATTGACTTTGCTCCTAGCCCATTCTATGTAGGCAAACGAATCGATATATTTTCTGCTTGTGCAAGTACACCATAATACAGAGTGATATAGTCTGGATGGCATGCCTGTCAATGGGACAGGTTATTGCAAATAAACTGTAAGTATAGATACATGATATCAGTAAGGAGATATTATTGCCAGTTGTTAACAGAAATGATTAAGGAAAGAGCATGTTGAGGTGTTGTCAAATATTTTTCATGGTGTTGAGGTGCTTTTGTCGTTAGATACATGTTAGTCTGATGAAGCAGTGAGGCTGGAGATTTATGTTGAATATTTGATATGTGTTTTGATATTTTATCCCACAGATACATGGGAATATTAAATATTATGTGTTGAATGAAAATAAAATAGTTTAACAATTATAAAATCTTTTTTTCTGTATTTTCTTCAGTAAACATGTTAACCAATACTTTCAATAAGCTTAGGAGATTTATTTGTTTTACTGCATTTTGGTTATGGTTTTAAATTTATACTACCTTATATCAGGTTTTGAAAATGCTAACAGATATTAGGCAATAGCCCAATTGAATGGTGAAACTGAATAACTTTTGCATATTTTACAACAAAAGTGTTTTAAGATAGGCTATGTCTTGTTTAGTTATTTTAGATGTAAATTTTTAAATGCTGAAGGAAACCATTTAATTTCAAAGCAGGATTGCATGTCATTTGTAGTACATAGATGACAAATTATGTATCAGCTTTAAGACCATAAAGCCCTCTTCACAGAGGAGGAGTTGTCTTATTACATAAAGATAAAGACATATATTCCAAAGTTAATAACAGGCATTTTAGATAATTAACATTGGGCAGTAGACATTGATTGATATCTTGGCCACAGGGGCTTGTTCATTTCTTGATTTCACATGGCAAATGTCTATCAGTTTAAAATGCTGATATTCAAAATTAAGAATAGATAAATGAAGTCTACCTTTGACTGCAAGTATTGCTTATAGCATGCATATTTTTGTTGTTATATGGAAGCTGGTACAGGTATATTCTTCACTGCTTTTTAAAATGTTGCTACCTTAAATTAATGGCTGAGTGCTAAATTTTTGGAATTTACCTTTGAGATTAATGGCACCAATCCATTGAGCAATCTTTCATTGGTACAAGGTGAGTCACAAATACATAGATAACCTTTTTAGGCTAGTTTAGGGTGGGATGCTGTGTTTGAGAGGTCAAAGAAAAAAGAGATCATTTTGAATAGATCAACATGGCGGGGCTGCAAGGGACGCAGGTAAGGAAGGGATTCATAAGTCTTAGTCTTAGTCTTTTAGAGGCCATTCCAGAGTATGTGGGATAAGAAAAATGAGTTGAATTGGGTTTCAAGGATTTACTAGTAATTTTTTTCTGTTGGGTTTGCAGTTATGGTACTGGATTTCCATTCTCATTTAAGCACCATTTAATCTGTTACGTAATGTAGTGTAATGCTTGTGCTTTTAAATAACAAACTTTCACATTTTAATGTTTCATCATCTCTGTGGCCAATTTATAGAAGAAACATCAAGGAAGTTCTTCCTCCTTAACTAAAAGCACAATAGTCTTTAACCCTGTGTTTGAGAAAAATATTTTCAACGGATTTGGTAAGTTTGTATTTTATGTCATGGATGCAATTCCCCTTGTACTTTGTGTTGAGAGATTTATCTCATTCAGTGACGGGGAGAAACAAATCCATGTCTTTAATGAAATTAAGAAGGCAAAAGTCTGGATTGAGGTAGAGCATGCAATCCATGAAACTTTTTTCATTAAAAGAATTTTTCAAATTAAACATGGTGAATACAAACAATTTTTTCATTCATTTGTTGTTCTCCTCATTATTTTGAACAACTCATTTCAACTAGCAGATGCAGGCCTACCCAACTACCAGACTCACCAAATGATCCCGAATTCACTGGCAGATCGGACCACACTACTAGTACCCGTTTTCAAGGTGTGCATCAGTAAGCTTTTCACAGTATCATTACCCGGGACAAATTTTGAGATGAGATGCACTACTTTACAACCCCTCTCAGAATCATCGCTATCACATGGCATACTAGGCAAGAGCGGTGTCACGTCTGATACTTCGAAGCGCGTACTGATACACACCTTGAAAACGGGTAGTGTGGTTTGATCTACCGGTGAATTCAGGATCATTCAGTGCCGAGTCTGGTAGTGAGATAGGCCTGAGATGTATGCTTTAATTTTAAATTCTTTATATGCATTAAAGTTTAGGCCATCAGCAATTTAAGTTAATAATTAAGAAAATTTTGAATGGATAAAAGAAGTGAAACTATGTATTGTCTTCATCTCATTAACATTTCTTTATTAATGTAGAATGTCACAAAGACTCAGTTCATTTTTCTCCTGCCATTAAACCCTTAGGAAAAGAAAATGAATTATGTACACGGTTTGTAACAGGTACAAGTCAATTAGTGACCTAATTAATACTTGGCCCACCATTGTGTCAATAGTGCATTTAAACCAGTGGAGCAAAATACAGACATGGCTGTGATAAACTCTCCACAGTATTGATTGTCATCTGGCTTCAGGTTGCTAAGAAGAGGAAATTGACCTTTAGCATTATAATGTTAGGATTTCATTTGCCATATTCTGAAGCATAGGTTTCATTATAATCAGCAGAGTTCCAGGTAAATCATGAGTATAAGCTGTTCTTCAGTGTTCTAGAGGGAGCTACACTACACCTGAGCCCTTCCCCTGCTGAAGGGCAAATTATCTATTTGGAGTGTTACCAAAAATAATCTCTTAATTTTCTGCATACCATGCAAAGAGCAGACTGACGATAAGAGTCCGCTGGATCACTGCAACAAGGATTCATTAGAAAACAGTAAGCAGGTAGGGGAGAAAAAACATGGATTACTTGTATGCTGAAGGTTTTAAGTTTCATAAACATACTGTCAGAGAGAAATCCATACATGTATTTTGTGTTTTGATAACTGTCCTGTAGATATCTGTTACCTGTCTTCTGGATTGATGTGAGGTTTTCTCTGGTTTCATGGAAGTTATGAATCAAAATCACAGACCTATCCCTTCTTTCTGAAAACTAACATGGAAAGCCTTTAGTCAATGCTAAATAGAAATAGTAAGATGTCAGTGTAGATAAGTTTGTATATGCTATTCATACATCATATGAAATGCTTTCACATCCAATATATTATGTTGTGGAGAGGATGCTTAATGAATATTATCAATTGAAATATAGCATGGTGCTATCAAAATTGTTGCATAAGTTGCACTTCTGCTTCTCCCAGAGGATCAATCATCATAAGTGTGTGGCTGGGAGTAGGATATGAACCAGGAAATGTTGTTACATGAATATTAAAGACACATGAATTTATCATCTACTTTGAACAGATCTGTGAATGATTTTCACAGACTTCACAATAATTTCAGTTACTGCCGGATGCTTTGTTGGTGATTGTTAGATTATGATTCAGTATGCATGCTTTTTCCTTGACCTAATGTAGTGAGTAGATTGAAGGGACCTTTAGTTTGGCAGGCATGTGCACTATTCTTGTATGGGTTCATCTTTGAAGTTTGCCCTTTAATATGTTTGGTTGTCACCTTGTATTTAGGTATTATTTGTCAAGGAATGGCAGACTGCAGTTAGGGCTTATTAAGGTGTTCTTTAAAATAAATCATAGGGTAAACACTATTTAATTAATCTGCTTAACATTCCAGGTATTTGTACCTATTGATTTATTTAATTTTGCTGAGATTTCTTACTAACAAGATGAAAACAACATGATTTGTTAAGCAAGTTAAAGTCCAGATGATGATGAGAAAATTATTTTCAGGGTAAACAGATGTAAAGAAGATTTAGATCTATTTTTTCCATTGCTTCAAGCTGATGAGCTCAGTACTGCGGCCAATTTTCAGCACTTCACAAGACTTTCTTTAATGGTCAGGACTTGCTAAAAATGAACATTGTGGTTTCATTTGTTAACATAACATAAACATGCTGCACTGACCTAAACTGAACCTGTCTGATGCTGGTATAAGTACTAGGTTAGAGATTTGTACATGCCACAGAGTAACACTGGCAGTTTGGTCTTGCATTTTGTTTAGTTTAACAGTTCTCTTTTCATTGTTGTGTTTACACTTAAATGGCAATGATTTCCTGCCTTTGTAAACTGTGTATTGTGTGAAAATGTGTTGGAATTTCTTTTATTTATTTTTTTCCTACAAAATTTCTGTATTTAAAAGTTAGGAAATACCACGTGCAATCACGCGTACTTTTTTTTATTTACCTTGTGTGGGTTTAACATTTAAGGGTAGTATAGTATTTGTATATTTTATAGTTGTTGTCAGTATATTTTATCTGTGATACGTGCAAAATGATATCATAACCTTTTGGTTTAAAAACAATTGTTAAGATTAGAAGATTTTGTTTATTTTCTAATATTTTAAGGTAATCAATTTGCATACAAACATGCATGGATAGTTGACTTTAGACAGCAAAGAAAATGCATTATGATAGTTTTCTGTGTTTTTCATTCCAATCTCACTCAGAAAAAAAAAATACTTGCACATGCTGTAAAACGTATTGATTGTTGAGAAGAGAAGCAAAGCATATTTTATTCACATAATCTTGAGAGTGACTTAACTACTATTGAGTTGAAAGTCACATGAGACATGCATGCTTGAAAATCCTGCAGTTTCCATTAGATTTCAGCAGTACATAGTCCCAGGACACAGCACATACCAAATGGTGGTGAAGTTCAGCAGCATAAAGTTACAAATATTTTTTTGTCTCCAGAGCTTTATGCCAACGTGAGAACCTGTTGAAGAAGATCATGTTTGTAAGCAAGTGAGAGAACTGTTTTTTTATGATACTGTTGGAAAAATTTTGAATTGCATGAAGAGGGGCTTTGTTATGGATGGCCTCTCATTTTATACAATGTAACGATATGTATAACCTAAAAGCTGCCAGTTAAACATAGTATAATATCTTTCCTTTCAGGTTTCACGTTGGCTATTGCAACATGGCTCAAAACAAGGGCAATAAGACGGCTGAGCAGAACTCCTTTCCACGCATTGCATCAGAGACTAAACTCACAGAGAAAGACAGTGGTTTAAGCACCAGGCAGGCCAAAAAGAACTTTGAGCGAACTCAGTCAACATCAGAATTGGCTAAAGAGAGCAAAGGAAAAGAGCGCATTGTGAAGTCTTCATCATTTGAGAAAGAAGGAAGTGTGTCAGAGCATTCACAAGTATACTGGGATCTGTCTAAAGCTGTAGAGATGGAAGATTCAAAGCCAGGTCGGTTGAAAATTTCTCTGCAGACAATTCATCAAAAGGAGGAATTGTCAAATGACAAAGCACAAGCCCAACCACAGCAACGAAGATATTCAGTAGAATATAAAAGAACAGCGACGGGATCTTCAACCATATCGACATCTTCGTCATCTTCATCAAGTACTCAGCGCCAGGTTATGTCTCCACCAGTGTATACAATTGAAACGATAAGTTCTGGGCCAGCCCTACCCAAGACACCACCACAACCGCTGCCCCCACAACCTATTTCTGCCATTCAAGAATTTTTACCCAAAACTAAGAGAACTCTACAGACAGACTTGGCGGCTTGTAAGACTATTATGAAACAAGATATAAAAAAGCTTCAGGATGAAAACCCTGCAGTGCAGTGCGGGGCTCTGCGAGAAATCTTGGGAATCATTGTTGAAGCATGGGGCACTGCCCATTATGGCCGTGACTTGGCGTATGGACTTTGTGATTTCCTGCGAGTAGAAGGAGGCCTCGATATCATAATAAAGAACTGCAGTTCGGCAAATTATGAAGTACAGTTGGAGTCCGCCAAAGTTCTTGAACAAACCTTGACAACTACCAATCGCGACTATCTTGTCAATCATGGGTTGGAGGTGGTGCTTACCATGTCCAGGAAAAATAAGGATGATGCAAACTTGTCTCGTGCAAGTACAGGGATTATCGAGAACTTATTCAAGCATTCAGAAGGAACATGTGGGAAGGTGATCCATCTGGGTGGGTTGAATGTGATTCTGTATTCTTGCCGAGCTGCAGATCAGGTCACGCTGAGACACTGTGCAGTAGCGCTGGCAAATTTAGCCATTTATGGAGGAGCTGAAAATCAAGAAGAAATGATAAAGAACAATGCCCCTGAATGGCTATTCCCCTTAGCATTCAATGAAGATGACAGTATTCGCTATTATGCTTGCTTAGCAATAGGTGTGTTAAGCGCTAATAAAGAAATTGAAGCTGATGTACTGAATTCAGGAACATTAGAACTAGTGAGTCCTTTCCTTACCACACACAGCCCTGCAGAATTTGCATATAGTGACAGGTCACATATACAAGGCCGAGACAAAGAATGGCTGAAGCGCCTCATTCCTGTTTTAAACAGCAAGCGCAAAGAGGCGCAGGCCCTAGCTGCATTCCATTTTGCAATGGAAGCGAACATAAAATCAGAGCAAAATAAAAAAGGGGTAAGTAGTATGGTTTCCTCCCTCTCAAAAAAAAAATAAAATAAATAAATAAAAAATAAATAAATAAATAAATAAATAATAAATAAATAAATAAATAAACAATTTAAAAAAAGTATAAGAAAAAAATGGTACTGAACCGGCCAGGACAAGTCACCTACTCGGCACACTGAAGTATTAATTTTTAAGTGTTTTCCAAAGTGGTGAGTAATAATCATGCCCCCTTCCCCAAAGACCTGGTAATTAACAAAGGTCAAATCTCCTACTTGCACACTGTAAACATGATTTCTAAATAATTTCTACTCCCTCCCGAAATAACGTATGATGTTTTTTTGGATTCAAAGGGTGCTTTCCCAGAGATTTAGATCAGTCTAAAGATTAAGTTTTAGATCGACCTAACTCCCTGGGGGTTCACGCTAAATTGCAGTCAGCCGAGCAGGCACCATAGTTAATTACCCCCTTACAGCTTTTAGTAGGCGGGACAGAGCTTAAGCCGGCCAAGCTGACAGTAATCTAGTGAGACTCCCCACAGGGATAGATCGATCTTAAAATCTATGGAAATGGGGTGAAAGAGTTTTTTCTTTTATGTATTATTCCGTAAATATTCTTTTTTATATGACTTATGTAAAATTTTTAATGTTGGCAACTATTATTATGACTACACTCAATCCATTTGGAATGGTTAACTCTTGTATCAAATGCTCGAACAAGTGACTCATTGTCATTTAGACATGTGTTCATCACAATTCAAGAATCCCACCAATTTTTGGAATTTCTCCTAATATACAGGATAAAGTGAATTTCTTTTCAGTATTGACTTGCCATGGCATTGTCGGGGGCATTTTTTTCTTGTTTTTGAAGAATTTGTATGGTTACATTTGATTCAGTTATTACTGATCTACAAAACATTGATAATATTCCAGTCAGATGAATAGAAATCAGGATGTTGAAGTACTTTTGCAGACTGCACGCCCACACTAACTCACCCAGTTTATAGGAAAAAATCTGAGATATTTAATAAAGGAGAATAGCTTTTTGGTTGATGTACCTACCATAACAGCAGCTGGTCATTTACCTATAATACTTGCACTTTATGAACAGTTTTCAGGTTCTTACTTTGGGTCATTTCATCGCAAAATGTGTCCTCATATTGAGTTGATCGATTAATCACCATAAACATTGACCTTTCTGTCTACAAAGCAAAGAAATGTGATAGAGCAAATTCACTGAGTTGGTGCTCTATTGTGGCACAGGAATGAAGGTCAGCTTTTCATAGTTCGTGTTCTTAGAGGAGCACAGATGAAAAAACTGTTCCTCTTTTTCTGTTGATCATATTTTTATTCAGCAGTACAGGTCATAATTCTTAAAAGATAACATCTTGTTGACATGTCATTGATATTTCTTCTGCCTCAGAAGCTCCTTAAAGACTTAATTTTGCTCTCATTTTAACTTTCATTTGTTTCCAAAATTATTTTTACATATGCTTTGTTTGAAAAATTTTATGATAAGGTGATAGCATTATTTTTCCTTGCACAAATAATCAAATATTCAAACATTGAATGTTTTTCTTTGTCCACAAACTGAGAAAAAAAAAAAATATATATATATAGTCAGTTATTATATATATAAAATATTCTTAGTGAAATGATCAATCAGTCTTTTTCAAATATCTGATTTGTGTGAAATTGTGAAGTCCAAGATAAGCTAAAAAAAAAAAAAAAAGAAAAAAAAACTACAAATGACCCTTGTGTCACATCAGTGAGTTACAAAAAATTCTTTGGCCTGCATTCACAATATGTTTCATTCAACAAAAATGGAAATGTAGACTAATAATCCCAGTAAGCCCTAAAGAATGTTAAAGGTGAAGTTGATAGACAACACCAAGCCACTGACACAAGGAAGTAAACCTTCATCTTCATTGATTTCTGTCAGCATTTGATGGAGGGATGATCCTAATGGAAGATCTTGTGGTATTGCAGTGTGATGCGTAGGTGTAATTTTGTGCCTGGCCATCAGTTACGGTACTTCATTCTTGTCTTAAGAACATCCATTTTGTTTATTTATATATGTAAATATTGAATTAAATACTAAATTAAGATTCTGTTTAATTTTTTATACTTCTGTTAGCTTCTAAATATTGTTTGATAATTCAACAAATTTACCATGTACATGGTAGTTGATATCCATAATAATAATAATATCAGTTATATAGCTTGAGCTTGTTATGAGAAATTGTTTTTTTTTTTTTTTTCAAAAAAGATTTTTAAAGAAATAGCCGCTATAGAACCACTGAAAAAAGTTGCTGGTAGCCCCAACAAACTTGCGTCCAAACTTGCAGCTGAGGCTTTGCGTATAGTAGGAGAGGAGGTCCCACACAGCTTGACACAGCAGGTGCCCCTGTGGAGTGTGGAGGACGTCAGGCACTGGGTGACAGAGGTACAGGACTGGAGCAAAATTTAGAAAAAAACTCATTCACAATTTCAGTATTTTCATCTTTGATGATATGGCATATTTGATATTTGATTAACATAGTGATTTCCCCCCTTATATAGTAATGAGATTTTTCTGACTATGGTGATCTGCAGATTCCTGACTTCTGGGAGACAAAAAAAAAAAAAAGAACATTTTTGAGAATGATACAGAGGGGCCCCTAGACCTCATGCTGTATTTTCAGATATTTTCAGTGAGTGGCAGTCTCATCCCTGCAAACAAACACAAAACTACTTATTTAGGGTTGCTGATTTTTCTTGATTAAATTTACTATTTGCATAAATTGTTTTTAATTATCATTATCAATGCTCCTGGTGATAACAGTGATAAATAAAAGTCATTCAGTGGTGGCAACATGATAGAATTTTACATTTGCATGTGTGATTTGTTGAATTTCAGATTGGATTTGGGGAATATGCAAAAACATTTGTGCAGTTCCATGTTGATGGTGATCTTCTGCTGTTGCTCTCTGAGCAAAACCTACGAGATGACCTGGGGATGCAGAATGGGATCACAAGGAAAAGGTGCAGTACTGAGTGGTTATCTTTTATAACCGATCACTTTCTGTAAGTGTCTTAGGGAAATAGCTTTGTAACAGGTGAAGCTGATTGATGGAATATGATGGCCCAAGGTAAGATATGTTCCCACATAACCTGCAATTGGTATACAATGTGCCATTGTGTGTGCAGGTATCAAGTAAACTGTTGATTTTGATGAGCTTGATTTAGCATAAAGAAATTTGAAAGAAACGGGGAAAAATAGAACAATGGTTGTGTAGGCACAGATTTGGTCCACAGACAGACATGTCCTTGGTTAATACACTTTGGTTGTTACGCAAGAACACATAGGTAAACAAATACATTTCATAGTGATGATGCATCACTAAACAGACACATGATTATGTTGTTTTTTTTTTCTACCAAACCAACATGGCAGTTTGAATCATCACCCAGGTGAGCAGTAGTGAAATGGGAAACACATGCAGCATGTTGAGTTCATTAATTCAAGGATGCCAAGAAATTTTCATTTACTTGGAAAATGCTCTATCCGTACTACAAGCATTTATTTTTCCACTATCCGAAGTATCTGCTGCTATTCATAGATAAGTTTGCTCTCACTGGCCAGATGATTTTTTATCCATTTGTAAAGTGACAAAAGAAGGTTATTCATGAAAATTTAAAGTTTGTCTTTTTACATAGAAATAATAGGAAATATCCTGTGTCAGAAATAATTTAATAAGTGAGACTTATAATTATTACATAAATTTTTTACAAGTGTAGGTAAGATGAGTAAAAAAGGGTGACTCAGTGTACAAGATTTTAGACATATCATTTATTCTAGAAAGTCCTTATGGTCCAAGGGTAAAGATAAGCAGCCATCTTGGGTTAGTTCCTTACAGTTAGGTTGTTCTGTCCTCATAAATCATCAGTTAGTGCTGCAACACTCAACACATTGGAGTTAAAATAAATTAGCACTATTGACGTTGCTCTGTGGGGATTTATTGTGCTGCTATGCTTTTTTTTTACAAAAAGTGAGTGTGTGGTTTTTATTCAGATAATTTGGGGAGGAATGGTTTTGTGTATTTGCAAAACGTTATTGTAAGTTTATTATATAATGGAGCCACAAATTATTTAAAAATCAGGTATGTTGAAATATATTTAAACAGATTATAACAGAAGAGAAGGGGGTGAGATAAGATACTCTCCCATTTTATGGGTTCTGTCTATGTGCATTACCAGTGAAAAACTATTTATTTACATATAACTCTACTCACATACTGATCAGTGTGTACAGGTAAGTTTGCTGGAGAAAATAGGCAGCATCTGTTTCCCATTTCCCTGTCTGTAAGATCCTACCTACAGCTGTTCTCTGAGTTATACAGGTGAATAGGTTTGTTACTTGGAAAGTATGTAGAGGCAACAAGTTGTCTTTTCTATATGCCATCTGCATGTCTGGAGGATATATTTATTTTCCCATGAGTTACACAAATATGAGAAAGGGTAGCTAGCACTAACAGTTTTAAGAAACGATAAGTTCATGGCTGGCTTATAAATTGATCTGTTATCTGGTACATCCTAAAGTTTGTTATTCTCTAGAAAGTAAGAGAAAGGGGAGTTGGGTTCAAAATTATTTTTGAAGTGTTTTTGAAACATTTTGAATCAATTTTTCTAATAATATGTTAATGTAAAATGCACAGACATATGTCAAGCTTAACATTAATCAAAATTACAGCAGAATTTCAAAAATCAAAATCAGAATTTCAAAATCAAAGTTCCAGCAGCCTTTTTCACTCCCATACAGTCCATGATAATGTAGTGCAACATTTTAATGACTTTGTTGAATTTATTTTCATTGCTTATTCTAGATTTATGAGAGAGTTAGTCTATCTGAAGAGAACATCAGATTACAGTTGCTGTGACCCTACTAAGCTTAATGAATGGATCCTGAAACTGAATCCAGAACTTACAAAATATACGTACCAGATCATCCGCTCAGGTGTGGACAAAAATCTGTTGCCAGCAATAACAGAGGAGCAGCTACGCACGGATTGCAACATTGAAAATGGCATTGACCGCATGAAGATACTCCAAGCGGTCAAAGGTAGCTGTAAGTGTGATCCCTTTCGTACTTATTTCAAATTTATGCCTTATTTGCTTCAGTTTGAACTGGGATTTTTGCCAGTATTGTTTGCCAGATCCAAAAATGTAACTCATCTGTGGAATTTTGTTGCTTCATTGATGAGTTTGTGCACTTTTGTTGAAGTCTTGGTTTTTAAGACCAGCTTTGTGTACTGATCAGCATGTTGTTGGCATTGTCTGGCAATTATCCTGTTGGATTTGTGGGCTTGCATGGTAAATCCTGAAATAATTGTGTGATGTCTGATAAAGCTTACAAAGTTTAAGTCTTGGCACTCATTTTCTTGTTTGATGCATTGGCATGAGCTGCCTATCAGTCGCAAGACTGGTGCCTTTTAGTAGCCATTTAGCTTGATGAGATCTAACAAGTTCAGTTTTGCAGTTCAAATATGTGATTAACCTATACCTGTGTTGAAGCAAATTCCGTTTCTCATTTTCTTTTGATTACAAATTTCACATAAATAAATAATTTAAGAATTTTTATAAAAATTTGCATTTTAGATAGAAGATTTTCACACTCAGGCTCAGCTGGTAAGATATTTTGATATTTAGATTATTTCAAGAAATATTGTAGATATTTTATTATGAAGCACAATTCTCAAATTTAACATTCAGGATTTACTTCAAAAGATTGCCTCAGCTTGTACCTTACCATTTGATTCACATCGCACTTAAATCTCCCAGGGGAGGATATCTAAAGAGAATAAATAACACACTTTTCCTAGATTTAAACAAGAGGCACTCTCAGGCAATCTGTGCAGTAAGCAAGCATTTCTGTCTTAACTTAATTATTATTGATTTTTTATTGTTCTAACCCATCTAACACACATAATTTATTCTGCTTTTGATTTTTCAACACTATGCAGCAAGTATTGCATCATCTGGTAAAATTTTATTCCTCTGAATGTGAATGTAAAATGTTGCTTGCTAGATTATGCTTATTTCAACATCAGAAGTTTCAGAACAAAATATAAGCATATCTTGTAGACGGCAACTGTGCAAGAATTTCAACAATCCTAATTTTATTACAAATATATTTTAATGACTTGTAAAGTCAAGACTGAAAGGAATGTTCTGAAACTTGAGATGTTAGTATCTCATCTGTAGTAGCTGGCTCATCTTGCTTGGCACTAGCAGATTTAAAGTGCAACTGCCCCCTCTCTTAAGACCTATGCCAAAAAACATAAATGGTAGCTGGATGTACTTTTCCAAACATAATTTGTGGATCATTTTTACATCATTTACTGATCTAGATGTACAAGAAAAGAGCAACTAGTAACTACATTTTTCTTAAAAATAAAGTCTATATGCACTTTCACTTGATCAAAGAAGTAGATATATCTACTATCTTCACTTAGTATAGCACTACCTGTTTCAAAGACATTTAGGTCCTCTTACCTTAGTACTTTTACTTTAGTTCAGGTATAGTTCTAGTGAGAGATGATGGATGCAACCACAGCTACATATTGATCTTCTGTCATACTCTGCACTCATTGTGATCCTTTGAAAATCCATTTGCGCTGTTTCTCTGTTTGCATGTTTGTTTATTTGAGCAAGTACTAGGAACAAATAACATTTTAAACCATTTTATGGCAGGGATCCCTGTTTAGTGTATGAATATCTGAGTTGAGTAAATCACCTTAAGAAACAGACATCCTTACGGCACCAACCCCTCCTTTTGATATTTAATTGAATATTTTAAAAAGATAAATAGGCAGCATTTTTTTCTTTAAAAAATTAACTTGACATCAATAAAAAATTTACAGAGCTTAAGCTTTTTGGAATGGATTGTGATATTGATGTGTTTCCTTGAATTTGTGCTTAATGGGCATATTTAGTGACAAGTACTGAATTATAAATGCCTTTGGTCATCAGCAAGAGCTTTGGTTCAAACCAACTTTTATTGATTTTTTACTGCTTTGTCACTCAAGATTACATGTATCAATATGTTTCCTGGCTGTGTTTACTGATCAGTGCACCGTTTTAATTTGCTTTTTACAGTCATGTCGCCAGGAACACCAGGAAAAGGTACACATTCACTGGGAATTTTCTTGGTGTTGCATCTTGATATCGTAATGAAAATGAACTGTACGAATGCAGTGTCCTTGTTTGTACCCATCTTTTATGCTCACCAGTTTTTTATTTCTGCTTTGCTGTCGGACATATTAAGGGTACTGTAAGGTTTTATTATCATCCAGATACCAAAATTTGAAAAATTTTTCCTGTGTCTAATTATTCTATAAAGCATCTATTTGTGCAGATTTAAAATAATAAAAAACCCTTGAAAAATATATAAAATATGGGTGTATTTTTTCTCGTTGCTATGTATAAACCACTCAAAGCTTTTATTGTGAAATTAACACTTTAGTCTTGAAGTGAGATAGCAATTGGAATGGGGTGAAACTTCATCCTTGAACAAGATTTTATCATGAAAATTGGCATATTTGACCACAAGTGTAGCGATTTCAATTCTGTGCTGTTGTTTGGTTTAAATATTTTTGTTATGGAGTTATGAGCCTCTAATTACAGATTTTCATTAAACAAAGGTATTATTTTTCTTTGTCATTGATATAATCTGAACAAAGGCTTTTAAGAAAAATCATTGGCAGGGTTCTGGAGTACTAAATGGTGTCATTAAATTTACATTGAAATGGTGTTCATGGGTGTTCAGGTAAAGAAGAAATTTTAGAAACCAAATTTTTCATCTTTATCCTCAAAACGGCCATTATAATGCCACCTGTAAGATGATAGTGTCATGTAGTCATTAAACACTGAAAATTTATCTTTTATCCAAAAGAATGTATGTAAGACAGTTGATAAGGAGTTCTTGGCAAATGCTTACAGTATCCTTAATTCTCATATTATTGTGTTCAACTCCTGCTAGCTAATGTATGGAGTGTAGACCTTTTGAACATCCACTGTGTCCCAGACTGGACTAATCTGCCCTGTGGTGCACTGCTTTTACCACACTGAGTTTGATTGTCAAGATTAACTTCATTTCTAGCTATCTTCATTTGGGATTTGAGTCCATTATTTCATTGTCTTCTAAATGTCAAATGTGTGTGTGTGTTCTTCACCTCCATTTATCCTGTATAAATAAACGTTGTGAAAAATATTGCATGCTAAGAAAATAGGCCAAATGCTCACTGCATTAAAATATGTGATCTTATAATTCTATTAGTAATTTGCAAGTTATTTTACCACAAACAGGTAGACCTTATGTATATTTCCCTGGATCCAGTATCAATACTGTACACATTATTTATAAGTACCGTAATCTGTGTAAAATATTTCCTTGGCAGTAATCAGCATACTTTACTCAAAAATGATGTAATTAGAGGTTATGGTTGTGTATTTATAAAGTGATTATTGGATTGAAGGAAAGCTTAATATGATTTTTTTTTCTACAATCATCAGTAGTTTTATAGTACTCACAATCATCAGTAGTTTTATAGTACTCACAATCATCAGTAGTTTTCTAGTAGTTACCATCCGTTAGTCCATTATTCTATTGGAATCCCCAAAATACAGTAAATATGTTTTAGAGCTACATTTTTCTTGATTTGTATTAGTTAGTTAAATGCATTACATCAATTTTCATTAACAATGAGAAACATGATATGATGTTTTCAACACTAATAAAACATATAGCAGACGATCAATGCTTCAGCTCAGATAATTTAAAATTAAAAAAATTTTTACAGTACTGGAACCAATCTCTTGAAGTTATCATTGTAAATCTTTTTTTATGTAGAAAGTGTAAATCTATTTGAACATAATTTTTTCAGGGGTACGTAGTGGGAATTTCATGAGTCCAGTGGCATCATGCTATACTGATGGACTGGAGAAGAATCCGCTGGCAGAGAGACCCATTGATGTTTTCATTAGCTATAGAAGGTCAAATGGATCCCAGTTAGCAAGGTATGACCAGCTAGGTGATGCTGTAGCATTTCTTAATAAGATAAACTATGTTCTCTCCTGTAGAAACTGATTTATTTAGTAGGTAAATTTTGATAAGTACATTCCTGCTTGAACAAAACCACATTTTTTACCATCAGATTTAGAGCAGATTTCTTTTCAGAATAATTTCCCCACTCTGCATTTGTCAAGGAAGTGTTTATGCATTTATTTACAAAATGACCCCAGTTACTTATCAGCTGTAATTGCCTTACTTTTAGCTTACTGAAAGTGCACTTACAATTACGTGGGTTGACAGTGTTTCTGGACATTGAAAGACTGCGAGCAGGGAAATTTGATATGAACTTATTGACCAGTGTCAAGAATGCAAAGAACTTTGTCCTGGTGCTGACCCCAGGGTCACTGGACAGGTGTCTTGGGGATGATGACCAGAGGGACTGGGTACACAAGGTAGGCACTGACTACGGCTTGGTGAAGTGAGTGAAGGGGGAGTACCAGCTTATCTTAATATGGATATGAAGAACTGTTTTCACTGTGGAAATAATTAGAGATTTGATTTTAATTTTAGTTTATGGGGTAAATTTAGCTGGGTACAATGATTACACCTAGATATTAGTCTATGTTGAAATGTGCCTGTGTGTTGTTTTTTTCAGGAGATAGTGGCAGCCTTAGAGAGTGCATGCAACATTATCCCTGTGATGGACAATTTTCACTGGCCAGCCTCAGAGACTATGCCAGAGGATATGAGGGCTGTCAGCTTTTTCAATGGAATAAGGTAGTTGGTTGCCACAGAAGACTTGTAATCCTGGTTTACTTTTTCTGTAGTCCGACATACTCTTGGGAACCTTTAGTCCGTACATATATCTTCATATAATGGAATCAAGGCTTTAGTATTAGTTAAGCACAATGCAAACTTAGTAATCATAATAATCACTAAAAAAATGAATAAGTATAAGACAAAGGATTTCATGAAGAAAAACAACTTGATAGAATTCATAGAATGCTTATCTTTTTCAGTCATCCTACATCAGGAGATTTGTTTTTGATGTAATGTTTATAGCTAGGATGGGAAGAAATCATATCCTGTAATTAATTTGATACCCACATTTTTTCAAGGTGGATCCATGATTATCAAGATGCCTGTGTGGATAAACTAGAGAGGTTCATCCGTGGAGAGGGTGCAGAGGACAGGTATCAAGGCTGTCTGTCCAAAGGCAACAGTATAGAGATGTTGAGCCCAGCAAGTGAACTGCATGGCTATGGACCTGCTCTTTGTCGCAACAATGGTGGCGATTCAGGAATAGAGGGTGCTAGCCCAGCAACGGAAGTACCTCCCAAACCTCATGATCATCATTCCTGAATAGCGGGAGAAATGTTGTTGAGCATAAGGCACACTGTTATGTAATGGATGCTTTTATTTAATGTTGGTTTTTTGGTAGTTTAGGTATTTTAGTATAACTCAATAGTATAACACATTCAAATTTAACTGCCAACATTAAATTTTGATTTCCACATGTTTCGGATGTTTATTTTTATGTGACTATAAGTTAGTTTATACAGACAGTGATGATGGGTGATTTCTGGTAAGCGTAGAGCGTTTGCTAGTGGACGAAAGCAATACAAGTTGTGTGCTGAATATTTGTAGATGATGATAGATGCATGTACCAAGCTGGTCCTTGGACATGCAAACATCCTGCATGTTTTGTGAGAAAAGAAAAAAAAACATTTTCATAGAAAAATGAATGAAAATTTCAACAATTTAGAGACATCAAATTTACCCTGCACTGCAAGGTCGGATTGAAACAGAGCTTCCTGTTTAGTTGACTTTTCTTCATACATTTTAATGGAGAGATTTAATTAGGAAGTCATCAAGTAGAAGCATAATGGTAGTCATGCTTATGTAAAGTTTTTAACATTCTTAGCTACAGCATGCCAAAATATTCAGCATCTGCCTATGTACAAATTAGGAAAATTATTTGTATGTTTGTGAGGTGTGAAAATCCCCATATGCCATTTGGTAACAAATCAACTTATCTTGGTAACTGTGAAGCATGGGGATAGTAAAGAGGATTATTTTAAGACTTTATAAAGTAGCATTTTACATAACTTATGTTAAGAGTTATGCAGCTGTTGTTTAGACTGAAATTTTTGTCATATAATATGAACAGTCTGTATATAATTTTATGTTGACTTAATATCGTAAGTGTTCAATTTATAATAGTGATTTTTTGCATGAAGTGTAGGAATGTACAAGACATAACCTGAAAACTAATGACATATATAAATAGTTTGTCTGAAAGTGACAACGAGTAATGTTCCTATTCCTCAAAGTTAACGCATATATATGTAGTTTACCCTGAAAGGATATACATTGCCTCATGCAGAAAAAGGACAATCTCAGTTATTTTGTGTGCGTTTCAAGTGTGTTGTTCTTTGAAAACAGTGTGTAAACCTTGGTCACAGAGTCACATGGTCCTACAGTTTGGACTGTTAAGTCTGTTTTAAATACTTATAAATGGCTTCCAGCTGGTCCATCTCAATTTAAATATCTTCCGTGCATTAAAATGCCTAGAAAAATTCTGAGAGGACTAAATAGGGTCTAGGGAAGAAGAATGAAAATGTGGAACTTGTTTTATTCAGTAGTTATTTTCATTCTCAAATGGCATCTGTGTATTATATTATAACAAATAAGTAATGCAACTTTTTATGAATTAATTTGATAAAATTCAAGATTATTTTGGCTTGCATACATCAAAATTGCTGCTCAAGTTAGATGAAAATATGACAGGGATTGTTAACGGCTTTATTATTTACGATTTTCTTTGTAGAGAGGTCTAGGTCACATTTTGTACATTTATTGTTAGTGACAGGCATTCTGGTGCTTTTATAGTGATGCTAACAATCATCCTGGTGAGTTTCATTAAATGAAATGTTTCACTTTATTTATTATGTAAATACTGTATCACCTCTCTGTAAAGAGCAATCCAAGTACATCGATTATTTGTTGCAAATTTAAGAAAGTGTTTGATTTTTCACTCAAGCATAAGAAAGTGCTGCATTTGTGGTTTATAAACTAGAGGTTTTTTTGAACTCAGATATAATTAGCAGTGTCCTCTTATTTTAAGTAACAATATAATACTTTATGAAATACAATACTCTGCAGTATACAAGGCCATCTCGTCAGTGAATGACCATATTATCTGCCGTCAATTTATTGCAGTGACAAAGAATTAGACTTTTGCAAGCTTTCAGTGCTGTAATTTAGAATAAATGGACTGTTTTCTGTAGAAACATTGTACTGCACTTATCACTTATGTAAACTTGTCACATGTGCAATAAAATGTTAATGTTGAATGCATTCATTGCCATTGTGGCTTATATCAGTTATTAATACTTTATTAAATCCATGTGAAGTTATTTTTGATTTTTATGTACAGACACAGATGTGTCTGTACNCAAATTAAGATTTCAAATGGTCTATTCTATTTGTGCCATAAAGGTTATTACAAAATTAATTTCCAAATTATAAGGAGAATCTTTTCAACTCCTGAAAGATGTCAAACTCTGAACCTAGCCGGTTTTTATCAGTACGATTGAAGATGAAAATTTTATATTAATGTTCTTGATCTCCAGATCATTTTTAGATGAAGACAAATATACATCACTTTAGATGTCACACTGTTTTACTTCTCAGCATACAAAATATTAGCATTATACACATATTTAAACATACACTTTAGCAATCCTGCTTCAGATTTCATTCAGGACATTTGAAACAAATGCTGCACCCCTCTGAAACCCCACTGTGTCCAGGCACTACATTGAGCTATTGATTATCATTTAAAATGAAGCAGACAGCTATAAAAATTCAGTCATTTTGTTAAACTGTTCCCTAATGTTAAACAATGATCAATTCATTTCAATAAAACTTTCACATCTGACTACAGGTTATCAGTAATATTTCTATGTACAATTCTTTTTTCACAGACTTCACTTCCAGTGGAGTATCCTATGGTATCATTATCTTGGTATATTTCATTAATTCTCATTTTTGATTTAATCTGAAGTTTCCAGGTAACCCATGGGCTTCTAACCCACTTTTCCATGAATACAAATGTCTACAAACTTGATCTTCAATATGGCTGACATTTATTACATATCCCAGTTGGGTTCTCTTCTATCAAGCTTGTCTTCAGTTTATGAGAAAGGTCAAGTTCTGCATGTTGTTAAAATGTCATCTGTACTGTATACAATCAACATAACTGCACTGGTATCTCCAGACTTAAATTAGGTATGTACAATGCAATTTTTAAACGACAACAGTTTCTTCTATACTTCATTCTGATAATATTGCATTTTACACTAAATTTCCAAATCACTCAGCCGTATATCATTGAGACACACATATACATATTATTTGCCACACTAGAAGGACCTCAGTAATTCCAGTCTCTATAGTTAATGCCAGACTGTAGGTTGATAAACACCAGTAAAACTACTCTTTAATGCCATGGTTTCTGCAAACACCCACTGTTTTGGTTCATACCACCCATTCATTTTCTTCTGGCAAATTATTATTTGCTACCACAAACATTTAAAATTTTAAAAATTCTGTTAATTCAAAATAATTATAGTGCCATTTTGGTAAACTAACATGAGAAATCACTTAAGGTTGCAATAGCGTAAGTTTGAAAAGCCAAATTAATCTGAAAAATCCATCTACAATTGACGAGAAGCATTTATGTCACAGAATTTATGGCAATAGACATGAGCACCTCTCAATGTAATGTACTTAAAATTTGAAATATAAGCAATATCTCTATATATCCCAATACCCATGCAGTGATCTGGTCATCTGTTAACACATTAACTATACAAACACCATTAGTGTCTACACCTTAATGAAGGCATGCTGAGTTGCTATCGACTGAATACTAAATCACTAAAAAGAAGACACATTGCTAAATCACATCTTAAACAGAACAAGGCAGTCTCATTTTTGAGATGTGTTCCTTGTGTGTACATCAATGTGCCTGTTTACAAATCTTGATGTTCAAGTCGATCAGAGTGTTTTCTCTGGTTTAAAATCATTATTTATGATAATACAGTAAAATTCTTCATACCTGATCTTTCAAATAGAGCTAGTGTAAAAGAAATTTGCACTTCGCCAGGATCAAGTCTCTGTATCTATACCTAATGCATGCTTCATGTAGAATCCCCACATGCCACTATGACATCATGGCAGAAATATAACCACCCCCTTACTAATGAACAAATGACTGATTCTATCCAACAATGCTACATATAATTGTCCTCCACTAAAAAAGAGAAATGACTTTTGAGTTTTTTTTCTGTTCCCATGTACACAATAATATACCAATGTCTTAAAAAACTAACAACATTTCTTCTTTTTCTTTCCACTGCTTCGACTGAGCTGGATTGTATCCCTGGCATTTTCTTGAACCCTGGCTTGCTGATCTTTCTTGCTCTTCAAAACTAGGTCAGTGATTGCATAAAACATCTGAAATCACAGTAATCAAGTTATGAATCACCATAATCAATCAATAAATTTTGGATGTCATATTGATCTCAAATTTATCATCATGCATGTATTAGCAACATTTTTTGTCCTTCTTTATAATACGGCCTTGTTGAAGTTGAAATCCTTTAGGCTCTTCTTGTTTTTTAGTTTGTTGTTCTTTCTTCATTTTCAGGGCTAATCCTGCGATTGCATGAAACATCTGAAACAACAATCAGCACCAAAAACATTGAATAGCATCTTTTTTGGACAAAAACGCTGTTATTAAACCATGCTAATTACCCAAATCATGTATCAGGAAATATTGTTATTATAACACACATATTAGTACCACCTATTTAGGCTTTGCCTTCTTCCTACCTCTTCTACATTTTTGTTGTCCTTTGCACTGGTTTCAAACAACTGGATCCCCATCTGTTCAGCAAACCTTTGTGCATCATGTGTTAGAACCACCTTGCCATCAGGGTTGTCATCTTTGTTCCCAACTAGAACAAATTCCATGTAAAGTATTATGCAAGGACTACAGTGGTGTACATACTGAATTGTTTTCCTTCAAAATGTGAGCATATTTACACACATGGTTTGTTGTGATAATTAAAGAGCGACATCTCCCTAGATTACATGCACATCTAGGTTTGCAACTTGCAATAACAGCACTTCTGAAACTCAATAAGCCCAACCTTTGCAACTCACTACCAAATCAAGCTATACATGAACAGTACATCGTATACTCACCTAAAATCCTATTCACTACATCACAGTTTTGATCTATTTCATGTAACCATCGTTTGACATTGGCAAAAGATTCTCCACTAGTGACGTCGTAAACAACTATAACCCCATGTGTTCCTCTGTAATAACTGAAAAACATAACATGGAATATGTATAAATTCACATTCAGGCAATAAGGTATAAGCAATATAAAGACTTCCTTTTTCATGTTCTACAGTTCTAAGCAACATTAAATCATTCCAGAATTGCAAATTTGTTTTCAAAATCTATGTTTGGTGGATGCTGCAAAATTCATTTCTGAAAAAAAAAAAAAAAAAAAAAAAAAAAAAGCTTGCAAATTTTGGAACATAGGTCTCATCTTTTTGCCTTATTACCTAAAATTTTGCTGAAAAGAAAATATATTAGTGGTACCATGTAATCATCATCAATACTGACACAAAGTTGTTGGTCTTCAATGGTTAACTTTTCCCTAATACATCATATCTCTGCAATGCATTCATGTCTATGTGACCTACAGTGTGCTGCTGGTCAACATATTACTTTAAAATTCTGAAACTTGCTACATGGATATTTACATTGGGGAGGTTTTCATTTATACAACCAATACATTGATCCTGTAACATACTTCAAGTTTAAGTGAAGGCATTTCAAAATAACAAGCGTTTTAAAAATTATTTATACAGGTACATTCCACTGCACTATACAAATTATTTGCATAGAGAAAAATACTTGCAGAATACAAATAAATTCTTTCTAGTACAATAGAAAGAAAACTGCACTCTTAAGCGCTCACTACTGCCAAGCAGAACAAGCACCTTCATTAACATATATCTCCTCAGTGTCTGACCTTATTGAACAAGCAGACATTAAAAGCATGTCTATTATGCATCAGTAGTCACAGATCAATGGTAAGGGTTTACTGGTCAGATCTTTCATGGATTAAGTTTTCCTCAAAATCTAATTATCTTTGGTAAGATAAAAGATGTGCTCCCCAGTCTTACAGAAATGCCAGAATATAATAAAGCTGCATCAAAACCAGGAAGTATGATGATAAGGATGTCATGTTTGTTTAACTTACGTTGATGTAATGGTTCTAAACCTTTCTTGGCCCGCTGTATCCCAGATTTGTAGTTTTACCTTTTCACCATTCACTTCTATAGTGCGGATCTTAAAATCCACTCCTATTGTGGTAATATATGTACCTGGAATACAAAAAATCAACCTTACATTTAATGGTGCTTCGCTAAAAATGGGACAAAAAGAATGCATATGCAAGCACTTGCTATCTTGCCAAAACTGGTGAGTACTTTGACAGACCCACTTTCTTTACTTACAACTGATCAAAAACCTGTTCTGCACTCCCCACACAAAATATCAAACTGTCAACTTGGCAATGTTTACATCCCTGTGCTTTAATCCATACAATGGCTGAAACATGATTTAAGAAAAGAAAATCATCTTTCAGCATACTGCTTACTTAAAATACCAGAGGTAAAATAACATGACAATACTACAAATGAAAACAAATATGAGACAGGAAACATTTCGCTGGAAAGCAATCTGGTTAAAAGCACTGTATTTTAAATAAGGAAATGACTCAACAAAAAAGTCAGCACAAGCTCAGTATACAGACATTGGCATATCTTGATTGTTACTTATCAGTATGCTTCATTGCCCTGTTGAATGTTACTGTCTGATTTCTAGTAGCATTTACAAGATAAAACTAGACAAAATATAACTGAATCCAATGGGGGCAATACATAAATTATAAATACTCAAATATGATAGATCTCTCAAATCACAAAGGGGAGAAACTGAGAAATGTATTCCATCTTCCGCAGTTGTGAAATTGCTCATATATTATATGTATGTTTCAGAGTGACATTATCATATACATCAAGTTATAACTAAATGCTTACCTGAAAATGTGTTATCTGCAAATCTCAATAATAAGCTGCTTTTACCCACTCCTGTAAAGAACAGAGGAAAATGTTTACATCATAATATCATTAGTTTACAGCTGGTGCAGTTCTAGACCAACAGTTTCCATGGAAGTTCTATACACACTAACGGAGTTACAAATTGTAAATTATTAATCTTAAATCCTTGTACTTGATTTAATTCAACATGATTGTCTGATTGCCCAGGTTTTGCTTCTTTGTTTATCTACAATCTCAACATCAAGTAAATTCTAGTACTCCCTTGAAATTAATTCCAACCACTGACAGCAAATATCTACACCTTTTATGTAAAGACAGATAAGATAACAAAGGCACTGTGCCACTCCACTCCATGGCAGAAATTGCTACAGGTCAAGTTACATGAAAATATCCAGAAAGTGGGTTTTTGACTTTTGACACTTTAGTACACATGAAAAGGTAGGATTCTTACACACCTGAGATAATTGTATTATAGTATCAGATGGAAAAGAGAATGATGCTTGACCTTTCAGCAGCAATGGCTAAGACATCTTATCAAAAGATATGTTGTAAATCTATTAGCTAGGTGATTTCCTCATAATTTCATTTCTTTTTGCCATTTTATCAACATATACAACCCCTTTTAACTATGATTAATTTCAAAATCCTTGGTGATCAATGCAATCATTTACAGTAAATATTTTCTAAAACAAATAATGGTTAAATTTCATATTTTTCAATGATTACAAATAATCATCTGGAAAAAAAATTAAAGAAAAATATAAAGATAAATAATATGTCTTGCATGTGTTAAATTTCATAAGAACATTATACCAGCATGCATGTACTACTCAGTTTCCTACACAAATTTCATACATGGATTGAATGAAAAACAAATGCTTACAATAGAAATAATTTACACTGATACAGAGTAATATACAAGTCTGATGGCTGTTCTCATAAGATAATGTTTACTCACAAGTGAACATTTCATCTAGGTGATAAACGTGGTAAGAGGGTATTCATCATTGCAATCTACATCAATACTCATAACTGGGTTCTAACATCAACATTGAGCAAATGACAAAATAAACCCATGAATCAATTCATCTAAAATGTTTGAGGGTTTAAGTCAAAGAATTGACGATTCATGTTCATGTCTTATTTATGCATTAACAATGATCAAAATGTGAAGTGTCTTAATAGTGAAGTCAACCAGCCACTAAATAATAGGAAATTTGCAATCAGGACTAAAAATATCTTAGTGTGCATTTGCAGTGAAATAATCACACTCTAGAGGTAGACCGATCCTACTCCATAGGGACTCTTGCTGAATGCATTCAGACTGAATGACACACCTTCACAAAACACTAAGGGGTGCTTCTCCAGGAGGTATATCATTCAGTTAATCTGATTGCATTCAGCGAGTCCCGATGGAGTTGGATTGATCTACCTAGTGTAATGGCTTCATTGTGAATGCACCCTTCAATTCCATGAAATGCTACTCCATAACAGTTGCTTTCAGAGTAAATATCTGCGTACAATCATAATATTCACAACAAAACTGTATTTGCACCAATTTCTACCAATCTGTAATTAGTGAAGCTTGTTAAAAGGGAAGAAATCAGCATGGTACTTGTACTCTCATTTACGCCAAAGTTCTTTTTTACGTCTCACTCAAGCTGAATCTGTGACAATACTCAGTCATTAAATAACTGCCTGAATCTGGATCTTGGTGGATGACTCAGACATGCAGTTTAAAATCTGGTGAATAATATGATGCCTACTTTACACACTATACATTTCTCTCTAGTGCATTATGTAAGCATAGGCATTTTGTAAGGCATTTGGTTCTTCTGTTATTATTTCAACACCAAAAATTAAAAGTTCAAATCAATTAAAAAGTATTCTTCCTCATTTTTTTAATAAATACAGAATAACAAGGGGTAGCCATACTAATAAACTTGCTCATATATTATTAAAGAATGTTTGTATACATCTACTAAGTCAACTGGAACAAAGCAGAGAAGAAGATACTGCATTTCAGATTTGCAAAATTGGCAGAGATGTGGTTGGCAAAGTACTAGATAATTGTTCCTTAGCCAGAAAAATCCTTAAATCTTAGTTTTTCATCACAGCTTTTTATTTACTGCCCTTTAAATCATTTTTACCTTTTTTTTTTGCTAAATGAACCGTAGAATAACCCCCCCCCCCAAAAAAAAAAAAAAAAAAATGCTTTTAAAAATCAGGCCATGTACAGAGGATTTCCATGTAAATGAATACTGAACAGGGCTCTATTTGAATGCATCAAAAATATCCAAAAGCTAGAAATGTAGAATGTAAGGGTAAAGGGTTTGATGAAAACAACAACTGCTCCTTATGGCTTAGTGACTATCACTCTTTAAGAAACATACTGTATATTTAAGAAATTTAATTTAAATTTATGCCGAAGAAACTGAAATACACTTACTGTACTTCCAACCCTCCAGAACACTGTCTGGGCTGCCTATGAAGCCCATTTGACTAGTAAGCACTAATGTGCTTAGCCCAAGTTTTATGTCTCTAGTACTTCTATTTATATTACTTTTATATTTACGGAGCATGCAACAGTCAGAGCAGAAGCCATTATGATAAGGTGAAAAATTTGCATACTTGACACTGTTATTGTGATGATCGGATGGATGGAACAAAGACCCAAGAACCTGTCATTAAGCAGGCCAAATTATGATGGTTAATTGATTTTCATCAGTGGTAAAACCCCTTGACTTTCCACAAGTGTGCAACAACTGAAGGCACGAGGTAAAGGAAGATACTAAGTGGACCTACAATACACTGCATGATTAGCAGACACTGTTCTTACATAAACTTTACATACTACTTTCTGACTCAAATACAGAAGAGAATCTAAAAATGTATTAAGAAGTACTCCAAGTCGTTATTCAGACCATGCATGTACTGTGTTTCAAGAAAATTCTTGTTAGCTTGAACATTGCTTGAAATGATCAATGTGGCTCAATGTCTTATATTGATCTTTTTGATGGAAATAAATCTCTAAATTTAATAACAGAAACTACAAATCAAATATCCAATACAGAGCACTTCATAATAACATATCATCTGGTGGTATGCATCCCATCAATCATCTGCTGTTCCTGGAATAGGACTGAAGCCACAACCACTGAATTGGATATTTGTCAAAGAATGGGCTCCTTGAAGTTGAAGTTGAGATCCGAGTGTCAAAGGGTATTTTCTGCAGTCAAAATCCAATGTTATGGGCAACATCAGACAGCAAGACCCGTGGCCTTCATTTGACATATCTGTACGATCTGATATTACAACAGTATAATCCTATAGCAGCTCTGACTTTGGGGGTGTCCAATCCCCTATCAGCTAGAGCTACGACTCGCAGCTCGCAGTGCCAGTCTGTCACCGACACTGACAACGGAAGTGTTGACAAATTCACTAGCTACATTAGATCTACTATCACTCACCGCTGTCTCCAATGATTAGAAGCTTAAATAAATGGTCATAGTCCCTGGCCATTATTTTCTGGCTGTTTCTGTTTTCAAACCATTAATTAATTTCCAATACAATCCCGAACGAGGAAGAGGTGAACTATGTAAATCCGGAAGTATAAAGGCGTATTTCACAATGCGCAGGTGCAGGTATTTGGAGAACACTAAGTTGAAGATTGGGGTTACAAGCAAATAAAAGTGATACACGTCTTATGGTTAATTGTTCATCGAGAAATATTGATAATGAGACTGTTTGCAACAATTAAAACTTTACTATGGATAGATTTCCTTGGATAAATGAAAATTATGTCGAAAACATTTTCCCTGGTGTCGGCACCCGAGTCGCAGTCTTAACTTTAATTTAACCGGATACACTTGGAGCAGAAGACGGATTTCACCTTGAAGATAATCACTCTGTCCAAAGCTTTGGATTTACCAGCGAAGACCGAATGCTGTCTCTTAAAAGACTTTTCTTCAATTGTGAAGCATGTCTCTGTCACCAACTCAATGCCAGAAAAATGTCATATATACCTGGGTAAGCTTTCTTGGTTGCTGATGTACAATTTACTACTCTACTACATGTACTAGTTACATGTAGGTAACAACACTGCCAACAGCATCTTACTACAGATTGCCAGTGGGAGTGCTGGTAAATGGTCGCTGAGTAATATTATACATATTGTGTTTATTTTTATATTTACCAACTGGCAACTGTTTCGTTCCATGTTTAAGTTTTGACTCAGTACTTAGTAAGCAGAGTTACCTTTCACCTTCATCTGCTCCACACTATTGAAAAGCAAAATTAAAGCATTGTACCACTACTGACATAAGTACTGGCATTAGTTCATTCAATTCACCTCAAGAAATGTCACTGTGAAGTAAAAAATAATGAAAAAAGTTTTTAATCTCTGTCGTTTGTTTAATTAGATGTCAGGGGAGTGCTGGTTACTTATTAATGCATTATATTATACTAGTATGAAATATATTGTTATGTTATTGTTCTTTTATTTATTTTTTACAAGTCCTCAGTTTCTTGTCAATGGAAATCAATATGTGGTGACCCTGAAATGAAGAGTCTGTGGTACATATGTATGGACTATTATTTTGTTTCATTTTCAGTTTTTATCAGTAATGGGTGGGGGATAGGGTGGGGCGAGATAATATACAACTCTGAACTGATGTGATGAAAGCCAAACCTCTAAGTGATTCAAAAACTAATACAAAATGTTTTATTATCAAATTCAGTCCTCTGAAGCTAGCCCATACTGTATACAACTCAAAGAAAGTGGAAGATAATTGTCCACTTGTTGTACTGCATGGATTGTTTGGATCAAGAACTAACTGGCATTCACTGGCAAAATCAATGAGCAGAAGAGGAAAAAAGGTATATCTTGTTTGATTTGTTTTTCAAATAAAGTAGTTTTCAACTTTCTCTTTTATCATTGATATGAAAAAATTTTATAACTTGAAGATATGTTTTTTTATTTACCTTTAATATTTAGATTTTTTTATCAGCCAATGAACATTTATTTATTTGTTTTATAAATGATTGTTAATTGGTAATATTGTTTAAATGAATGGCTGCTGTTCAATGCTTAACAGGTAATTACAGTAGATAGCAGAAACCATGGTGACAGCCCTCACTGTGAAGAAATGGACTACTTTGCCATGAGTGAGGATGTCACAAACTTGCTGCAAACCATGGAGATAGAGAAAGCCATTGTCATTGGACACAGCATGGGTGGGAAAACAGCAATGACACTAGCTCTTACACAGGTTTGTATTTCATTCTGTAATAATTACAGTTGTTTTCAAGCAAGAGGGTGATATAAGAAGCCTTTCAGTCCCAACTACAGTACTTGTCCTGGTCTTTTTAGCAAATCTGATGCAGGTATGTTTCATGCCTCACATTTTATTTAAATTAACCAGTGATTATTAGATGATAATAATATTCATGTTATTTTAGCCAGAACTAGTGAGGAAGTTAGTGGTAGTAGACAATGCACCAGTGCAATTCAGCATGACAAAGTCTGACTTCCCTAAGTACATTCAAAATATGAGGAAAATTCAGCTGGATCAGTCAAAATCTTTGATAGAGAACAGAAGGAATGCTGATGAAGTTTTGCAGGAGGCAGTAAAAGTAAGAAAGTATTTTATGTCATGTCACATATCATTATCTGATTTGAAAGGAACTCATTTCTATAGATTAGCTGTTCTTTGAAGAAGACATCTGTTCTTAGTATTATATCATTCAGATTTATCAAAGGAATGTTGAATTTTTTGTTATGTTAAATGTAAATACTTTACTTTTTGAGGGGGGGGGGGAGTTGCTGGAGAATAATGCTCTGTATTTATTTCAGAGTGAAAAAGTACGCAGTTTCCTCCTTACCAACTTAGTGGAGAAGAATACAATAATACAGTGGAGATGTAATTTGGACTATATTGAAAATAATCTAATGAATGTCTTTGGGTTTCCATTTTTTGATGATTTTGAAGCTTATGTAGAGAAGACATTATTCATTGGAGGAGAAAATTCTGATTATATTGAGTAAGTATAAGTGAAGTATGTCATGAACAATTGCACATATACACACACTAAGCTTTATACTGTTAAAAGTTTTTATGATTATTTATTTTCTTTGCAAATGTATACATTACATTTAAGTTTCATTTTCCAGTTCCAACTAATGAGTTTTGAATATATTGTTTAGTACCATTAAGATAAATGGGGTTTTATTTCAGAGAGGAATATTTTGAAGAGATTCGCAGACTTTTTATCTATGCTGAAGTACAGTACATTGAAGGGGCAGGCCACTGGGTTCATTCAGACAAACCTACAGTATTTTTACAGACATTGTTTAATTTTATTAGCAAGAAAAAACCAATTCGTCATGCTAGTTTATAATATTTATTGATATTTAATTTTATGTATTAATGCAATTATTAAATATATTGTTGTACTTTTATTTATTACAAGTCCTCATTTTCTTTTATATATGAAAATGAATATTTGGGATCTGCTTTTAATTCTTCATTTTATATAAGACACAAAATTATCTATTAAACAATATATGTATCCTAGGAAGGTCACAGTAAACCTGGTAAATATAATTGTATTTTGCAAGATCGAAATGTTGTCTGTGACTGTAATGTGGTCCATGTGTTGTTTTATCCATATGCATTTTTAGATAACATTGTTATTGCCCTTCTTAAATTTTTTCTCATTCTGTGGCATAACATTATTTACACGAAAAAGATGTTTTAAAATCTTTTTGCCTCTGACAAGGTTTTATTTAATATAAGTCATAATATGTTGAATAATACGACTTAAAATATATGACATTAGCCATTGGTCCAAGGCATTTGTTCAGTATTTTCACATCAATAGTCCAATTGGACTAGTAGAAATATTTCCATTACCTAAAAGTTCAATTTTCTGGAAGATAATATTTAGGGGCTTTGTGGTAGTTTGTGACCTATAGTACAAAATATGAAAGTGACTGGATGTGAGATGTATAGTAATTTCCATAAAAAAAATTTAATAAAAGACTGATAAGTAACCAGTCATGTGTTGTCCTCCTTAGAACTAAAAATGAAAAGAAAAAAAATGCATAACGAAACAAATTTTGAACCTACTTTATTTTTTGTAAAGCCACATCAATAGGTGCAGTAACAACAACTACATATAGTAATACAACAAACAAGTACTTGAACACTGAACCATTAGTGTATTAACTATAGCACTGTATATCTCATCACTTTCATTCTTTGGACTAGACTAGCATAAATAATACATAGTATTAGCACCAACAAATACATAAATATCATCTGTAGCTAAAATGCTATCAGAATTTACTTTAAGTGACTGCCCCCTTTAGTGAGGCTTAAATTGAAATAATTCAATGATGGGAATGTATTGATATCAATATATAGAAAATACTATAAAAAATTATCTCCAATGATGATATAACTCTGTAATGCATCAAAACCTGTTAACAGAATGGTGCATTCTTAGCATTAGGAAGAGTCTATTAAAGGAAGGATTACAAATCACCTATCAAAATCTTTGGTTTATTAAAGTAGTTCTGGGAAATTCTATGCATGTGTGCACTTCTATTTGTCCAGATTTGTAACACATAAATGTATACTGCCCATGAACTTGCAGATGATCAACATTTGTCAGTCTACTCCACAGTAATGACCAACTATAATAGTAACAGCTGAAGAAAAGATGACTCTTTATTTCTGTTTAAGTAATACCAGTTCGTAAAATAGCTATAATGAACTTGAATATTATGTACTGTAAGAATTCAATCATGAGTTAGGCTTTAAACTTATTACATTAGAAGGCATATCATGCAAATTATGGAAGGAGGCAAATTTTTGTACGTACTTCTGAATGGATGTTCTATGGGTTACATCAGTTTTTTGGACAATCCTCAAAAAGTGAACATTTGAGCCACATTGGCAATGCACATATGAATTATGTTGATTCCTTTCGAAATTTGAGGGTACTGTAGTATAAAACAGCAAAAATAAACAGACAAGCCAAAATTATGCAAATATTGCACAAAATGTGTGGACACAATGCAAATGATTACTACCTGTATAATAAGGAATTGCCCTTCTAAGAGAACAGTGCAAATTCCCTGTAATGAAGCACTTCAAACAAATTCCCTGTAATGAAGCACTTCATGCCAAAAATCCATTTAGTTCATCTTTCAGTAAAATAAGTGACGATAAACAAAGGCCTAGTCAAACATGACTGTAATAGATTTTTTAAAAGAAAGGAATGTTGTGAAGAAATTACTGTAAGTTGATGAGTAATGACAGTTCAAGGAATGTCTTACTTGTACATATATCTTAAAACACAGTCTTAATCAATTTTTAGTATATCACCTTTGTATTCTATATTTATTGGTAAAGATTCCAATAAGAAAAGCTACACTTTATGTAACTCAATATTTAGTTGTTGCATTAGATTATGTAACAGGATTGATCTTAATATTTCTGTTTATGTTCAACATGTTTTGTTAAACATGCACTTTTTGCAGGTTACAATAAATATAAACAGTTTCATCATTTAAAGGGTCAAGTTTTTGAAGTATCTAAATGATTTGACTAGGGAGCACTTGAAGCACTCAAGAAAAACTTACGTTTTTTTTCTTTCTTTTTTTACAAAGAATGAGGAAGCATATAGTTATTAGACATTTAAAAATATGTACATGTAAATGCTAACACAGCTTTTAAGCCTGAACCTTGAAAGCAAACATCACAGATATTTACAAGTAACTATCAAGCACCCACCAACATTCTGTTTACTCCTACATGACCTCCTCCCCCCCCCCCCCCCCCCCCACCTTCCAGATTGCACTGATAAAGCATCTACATAAGTACACAATATAGATGAAAACTGATATTAAGGAAAGATATGGAATGTTCTCTTGGGAGAAGAAGCTTCAGCTTTGAGTTCATCTTTTTCTGTCTCATCTTTTATCTGTCTCTTCATCTGGGTACCAATTAAGTCATGCATGTCCAGCTGAAAAGCAAACATAATATACATGTATATCTATATTACACATACACAATCAGATACAAATATTTTTAATTCTTGTGGAATGTTTCATCTTCATTTTATAAAGAGAATGTAAAGGATAATGCTATTTTAAAACGGCTCCACACATTTATACATAGTTGAAAAAAATATGCTTTTTATGGAAGTGTCCACTTTAGGTGTCAATGATTATAGTCATGCATTATGGTCAGATTACAGCACATTCTTTGCTGGATGATGAAAAATTTAGTCATGATCAAAAAACAGTTAATATTTGAAAGTTTTGAAGCCTATGCAATAAATATACATCTATTTAGAATCTTCTCAGCAAAAGAGTTGCACCTTTTATTTCTGAAGAATAAAACCATAATAATGTCAACACCTACCTGCCACTGCTCCAGCTGTTGTGAAAGTTCAATCTTCTGTTGTATGGCTTCCATCAGCTGTTTGTGAAGAGTCATGTAGTCCAGCTTGGCTTTGGCTAGCTCTACTTCCATACTGTTTCGTCTAAAGTGGAAGAAAAACATAAAACTGAAACAGTTCACAATCCACAAACAACAGTTCAATATGAACCCTTGTTTTATGAAAACTGATTTGCCACTTATTCAAAACCTTCAGTGTGATACATGTAACTGTGTTCATTAAGGCATATGGAGTTTAAAAAGTTATAATTTTCTATAACTTGTTACCTTATTATCATATCTCAGAATAATTTGATAAGTTAATTAATCCCCCCCCCCCCATAAAAATCAGAAATAGAGCATCAGGGGTCCATGATTACTTTGATATTGCTTCATTTCTGTCCTGCCTGGCACCTTCAATTACTTCATCTCTGGTGACTGTTGTAAGAGCTTGGTCTTGCAGGCGATCACGCTCAGCTTGAATCTTGGACATCTCCAACTGCTGCAACTCCAGCTGAAGACAAAAAATACAAGTGCATCAATTTATCTACAGTGACTGTACACTGAATTCTACAAACATTTAAGATTGATGATAGAGAACTCGTGAAAGATTGATCATAGAAAACTTGTGAAATGACTACATGAGTTATGTAACCCATCAAATGTAACTGTTGCTAGTCCACTTTGGTTTTGGTTCATTTGCTATTGTGTACCACACTGACCTCATCATGAAATGATGGTCCTGCAGAGTTCACCAGTACTCAGCATCTGTGATTATTAACTCAATTCTGACAGTATACGGGGCTCAAGACTAAAACTGAAACTATGGTTTTCAAACCAAGAGAGAGTACTCTGTGATATATAGATGTCTTGCAGGCTTATTGTTGCTAGTAAAGGAAGTTCTCATGGGAATTGAATCAAACTTTTTTTAAACTAAAATTGTTTTTAGGCAAACAATGGATGCAAATAAAAACTTAATATCTCACCTCCTGAATGCTGATCTGATTAAGGTGTGATGCAAAAGAAAGAAAAATTATTACTGACGAAGAAACATTCTCTTTTCTAACTAAACTTATTCAAGAGTAGCAATAAAAACGACTGATTTGTAGTAATCCCAAATTTTGCTCTCATCTTCACAATATGAATATGAAGTTGAGGTGAAATCAGAGAAGGGAGTGAATGCCAAAAATATGCAGGCTGTGGTAGGAACTTCAAATTTTCCAGAATTACTTTATGAGTACTCAAGCACTGTGATTCAGAAAAAAAATCCCATGAATATGATCATCAATAACCAAAAGTGAAAAAATACAATAGCTGCAGTGGGGATCGTAGCAGAATGAAAATGATCTAAAAATCTTAGTATCAAAATGCATTTGATTTGCACAAAAACATTTTCAAGTGTGATGCTACTCAATACAATCATTAAAACAATTAGCTGACAGAAATTCTTAAAAATAAAATTAAAAGAAAGGGGGTAGGTGAGATCAATGCATATCGTTTTAGAATAAGAATTATGCAAAGTGATAATTATCTATGGTGAAAAGACTTCAATATAAACAATAATAATAATAATAATAAGTAATACTTTTCTAATGAAAAACAAGCAATGCTTATAGTGAGTTAATCTATAGATGCTGTTGAGCTCATGTTTATGAACAATACAAAATTATAACCATTGCCCCAGTTTAGTCTAGCAGAGAAACATAGGCATGTGAACATATCTTTGGATGCAGACATCTAAGTTAAATATGTTCATATGTACATAGTAAATATAATATTAACTAAGTAACTACACTGTACATTTTACAGCTCAAAGCATACTTTTCTCAACCCTAAAAGATACATTTTGACTCAATAACACATCTCAAGAGTTAGAAACCGCCACTGGTTTAACAATACCACAATGATACTTTCTCACCCAAGCAAATAAAACCTTCATCTTATTGACCAAATAAAAGGGCTAGTAACATTTTGGCTGTTTGACAAACTCTTGACTTGTCAGCGAGAGAAGATTGTCAGAAGTGAGGTCAAACACAGGGTGAATTTCCTGACATTTTGAATTTTTCTATGATGGCCTTGATGGCCAGTGATGAAATTAAAAATATATCTAAGACTGAATGTATTCATATATGTATAACAGAAATGCTGCAGGCAAGAAATAAATAGACACATTTCAGAAATATAATTCCAAAATGCTACCTTGTTGAATTAAGCACAATAACTACCTGACACAGGAGAAAAAGATGCAAGGTTACTAGACAAGTTTTAATGCTACGCCCAAGATGCAACAACATCAAAAAAGTTGCTGCAAAAAGTTTTCTCTACCTTTACCTTGCTTGTGAGAGATGTCAGCTCTGCTGTCTTCTGGTGGAGTTCCTCATCTTTGCTGATCATTTGCTGGTTTAACTTTTGCAGTTCTCTCTGTGTTCTTGTCAGCTCTTGGCGCATCATGGATATTTTTTCTTCCAACTCTTGTCTATCATTTTCTTCAACTGAGTCAGGAGAGTTCAAACAAGGACACTCCTATAAAACAGAAATGTGATAATTACTACATAAATTACATATGTTCATAGGTTGGGAATGAATACGTCAAAATGAATTTGTACAACTTCGCAAACTTTGAAGAAAAATCAAAGAAACAACTTTTCTATGTAAAAAATAAAATTACTAAACTATATGGATGTTTCACAGAAATACCGTTGATACAAATAATTTCTTCTAACAATAAGATCTCATAGGGGTTCTGATACTTACTTTTTTACCTGACAATGCTTGAATCAAAGACCTTATTTCTTGTGTAACCATCTGCAAATGATCTTTTCGCATATCCTGTGAAGTAATATCATCAGGAGAAAGAGTCTCTGATCTGCTACGGGTTATTTCTCTGGCCATAGCTCGAAGCTCTTGATAGACAAGCAGCAGTTCTTCTTTCAGCTAGTAAAACAGTGGTATCCAATTTATCACAGTCTTTATAAGCATGCTTAAATATAACATTAACTACACAAGTATTTAAAAACTATCATCTGTTCAAGGATTAACAATACCTCCTCACTTATCAAACATTTTATCTGAAAGCAAAACTGCAGAACTGAAAATGAATAAAATTTTTTACAAAGTCTTTCTTTCTATTAGCTCAAGCAGCCAAACTACGTATTAATACCTGTCGGTTCTGTTCTATATGTTCAGAATCCGTAAAGCCTGCTGTGGTGCCATTCAAGCTATCAGGGAAGGACAGGGAGGACTGTAGGTTTCTGGGATCATTATCTCTGACAGGTGAAAGCATCATTGCATCATCATCACACTCAACATCATCATCATCCTCATCACATTCTGACATCATTTGTGTACTAAATAATAAATTGCTTGGTCGTGGATGTGGCTGGAAGGAAAGGAAAGGATGGCCACATTACATTTTGCTGGTTTAATCATAAAGCTGGTTGCAACCTAGTAGCTTCAACATAATTTCCAATCAAAGTTAACTCATTTTATATGCTTTCCAGAATAAGAAACTAATAGACAATTACCACATCCACTCCAGCAGCTGCCAGTTCCATGTCTAGGGAATTTTCTGACTGCCCCAGTTCATTAAACAGAGATTCTTGGTTGTCATATCTGTGAGAGGCTACATGGAGAGATAGCCCTTCAAGCTGCTCCTGGAGCTGCGAGTTCTGTTCCCTGAGTTCACCCAGTCCTTGCTCTTGTAAATGCAGCTGAGGAATAAAATAATAACTCAAATGAATTGGTCAGAAATGACAATCATTTTGGGATATAAAGATTATGATTGCAAAACGATGAGGATCATAATTTGTCTTCTGCCCTGCAAAGCCAATCTCAGACTGGTATAAAATAAATAAATTTCAAAAGAAAAATATGAAATACTCTTGGCCATGACATAAACTATTTTCAGGCACTTTCCATGCTGGGCAACTAGGTCTAAAAATCTAATTTTGAAGCTAATTGGTGCATTTCTCCAAGAAAATAACAATAGTTCTGTATTCTAAATGTTCGATTTGTCCAGACAGACATTGAGACCGTCACAGTTTTCCTGACATTTCAGAAGGAAATATCAATACAAGATGTTTTTTGAGGCGTTTTATCATTTTAAAGGTCCGAATTGGGAGAGATTAGTAGCTCTGCAGGATATTTCGACATAAAACATGACTTTGGTATATTTTGAAACGTGTGCAGTATACCTTTAAAGGTGAGGGAAGTAACAGTAATAAATTATGATGAAAAACCATGTAATATACCAAGTAAAAACAAAGCAGATGGCAAGCAGCATGGCATTTAAGTGCACTTAACCATAAACTATGTAATAACTCTTTCTGGACTTCTGATGTCCCATTTTATGACAACATGAGCATACAGGTAATAAATTATTCACATCATGGTGACATGACAATAGCCCTAGACTGTATAATAGAGTTCACCACCTTAAATGGCATAATCATTAGTAAGCAAGTCTGTTCAATTTGTGTGAACTCAATATTCAGACAGGAGCTTGGGTTTTAAAGAAATCTCAGCATATTTATTATGAGACCCAATACTTAATCGACTCACTGGGGGGTCCAGAGGTCGCCCATAAGAATTGAATGAAAAACAGTGTAATCCTGTGATTCTTTGAAAAATTAACAAATGATTGTCTCATAGGTAACCGTCTTTTTAAATGAAATGTTATTTACCTGATGTTCTTGCTCTCTATTTTGTTTCTCCAGCATCATGATACGGTCTTGTGATTCCTCTAATGTTCTAAGCAGCTCATCTCTTTCTTTGGTCACAGCAGCTATTCTTCTGTCAAGTTCATTTTTGCGCTCAGTGAGAATTGCAATCTGTTCGTGAATAAAAGAATTTAAATAATATTTTTATCAAATTTTCTTTTTAGAATGATACCCATGCTAACTAAGGAAAACAAATACTGCAATACAGTTGACGTTCAAGCCTAGAGAATCATTTCTGATAAAATATCAGATGTATTGAAACATCTCCAGACACTCAACATATTTATGATCAATAAATAATCATGAAAAAACATTGCACTTAGCCAAAACTTAAGGATATGTCTATTTTATTTTTGCATGAATAACAGTGAAAAGAAAATTTCAATTTCAAGAACTGCCTTTCCAAATAATAGTTTTAAACAATCCCTGATGCAATGGTTCAGTGGCATGTACATATACAAAGGATTTAATTCAAAGATTAATTTCCTGGGGAATTGAGCAAATAGTAAAAAATCAATATCTAGTTAGTTCACTGCAATATATAGGGCTTCAGGTTAAACATTAGTGTCTATGTAGAGAAATCCACCTAAATAAACCCAACTGTTATAAGTTAAAACTCAGAGTAAGCATTTTATGATTAGCTAGCAGTATCAACATTAATTCCAGATGTGATTTTTACTAAGTTGAACACTCCATGTTTCTATTCTAAATTATATTACTCAGAGTTGTCCATAAAGAAGGATATACTTTTTATAAGTTCAGGGATTAGATTTTGTTGAGAAAAATAGAGTTATGATTAGTTTGGATAGCATCTACATGTCTGCCTTACCCATGAAATAATGCTTAAAAATAATAAAAGAATAACTGTTATTATACAAATATTTCAACAAAAATTTAAACTGCAAGTACAAACTGTGTGTAACATTTTCAACAAAACAAAAAGATCAATATTTCATCACATCAAAGTTCCCAAGGGATTTACCATGTCACCTTCTTCAAACCAACCAACCATGCTCGATCCAGACAATAACTTCATCAATAAACCCCAACATGAACATACATTGTAGTACTCAATACTGTCTGGTTCTTTTTTTTATAACTTTCATGTTTAAAAAACTTACTCGACAATGTGACCTCACTGGAAAATATGTCTGTATACTAGTATAATGATAAAGTACCTTGCCAGTCACCTAGATCAATCTGATGTCCACTTCAGAAACTTGAAGTGATTGGTAAAAGTGAAGCACATGATTCATTCAACTGATAGCAAGCATTGAGGTCAAGCATACTAGTAATGGTTCTTACCTCTTCCTTCAGCATTTCTAACTGCTGCACATGTTCGTGCATAGACACACGCTTCGAGTTCAACTGGTCACGAAAACTTTGCACCTGATTCTGTAACTGCTCTTCAGTTTTAGCAGCCTGTCAGAAAAAAATATCAAATACATAAAATATCATAATAACAGGTGATTTGCTTAGATCTACAGAAATAACATGTTTAATTTGAACTTTTCTTTTTTTAATTTTCTGCAGTCCAACGCCAATTTAAGTCTTGTCATTCTTTAGAGAAACAAAACCCTATCCAAGCTTGGCACTTCAAATGCCAAACAGATTAAGGATTGAATTTTTAGACCAGTTCAATCTAAATAAATAGTGAGAACTTTATCCATTGGATCACATGTTCAATTGTAAAAAACTGCTCAACCATAATAATAAAAAATCTCATCAACAAGGAACAATGTAGTCTGTAATTTCATGACATTGACCTTTTTCTAAGCTATGCGGTAAAAACTGGAAAAATAAACAACAAAATACCACAAGGTGATGCACCATTTCATTATATTTCTTTCTTTTAAATTATCTTTACCAATACAGTTTAATAGATGGTTCATCAAAACAAATTATAACAGAGTGCAGAAATCCAAATACAAATGAGATCAAAGGTACTCTCAAGGGGATATACACGTCGAAATGAATTTTCCAGTAGAAAAAGACAATTTTCTCCTTTTAACAAATTAATGCTGGACCTGTCCCTGCACTTGGATCCAATGTCTTCTTCCATTTTTGATTTAATAATTTAGTTCTTGGCCAGCCACTGGGTAAAAAAGGCACCACTTCATTCATCCCAATCTATGCTAATCTCCTGATGTTTCAGGCATATCAGCAGCTCAATTTGTGTGCTACTGAAGATAAGCACATGTAAATTTTGGTAAACACTACATTATATCAGGCAAAATATACTAGTATTTTTTCACTAGCTAAAGCTTTTTCAATAATCAATATGGTACATGTAGCTCCTTTGAAATCAGTTTTCAGCAGCCCTTAAGAGATCTCATTTCCAATATATTATCATAAGAATAATCCTCATCAGCATTACCATTAGTACTGTGATATACCTCATTTTAATTCCAGTACCTAATGAATGTTACTAACCTGTCTCAGCTGATCTGTAAGTCTTTCATTCTGCTGTTTTAGTTCATCAACAACCTGTGCCCTCTCCCTGTCTCCACTTTGGCTCTGTTGTTGTCTTTGCTCCAGCTCTCGTCGCAGATATTCCACATCTTGGTGAAGATCTTTGATGGCATTTTCATACTGTCCTTCTTTTATTTCCATCAAGAATTTAAGCTCGTGTCTTTGCTGCTGCATTTCCTAGATATAGAAATAGTTTTCATATTATGACAACTAATACATGTAAAAACAGGGGAAAACATCAACCACCGTCTTCTATACTTTACCTTGATATAACCAGAATTAAATTCATATTTCACATGATTTTGTGATTATAATTATGTCTGTCAACTTTCTAGTTAACTTAAAAGCCAAGCTTTGGATCTATAAGACCCAGTGTTAGAAATATTGGCCGTGGTTTTCAAAATGTTAGAAAATTGAGATTAAGAAGAAGATTAAGTCTATGACCTATACACTTGCTTGGCTGTGCAGTATGTAAAAACTCCTGATACAAAACAAAAATTATATAAGCAGCTTACATTATTTTGAACAGTACTAATCAGGCCTCAACACCTTGTTTTTTACAAAGGCACCTTCCTGAATTTTTTACATCTCCCTCATCTACCTCAACTTGCCCCTCACATATATCACTGATAAATTTGATAAAAAGTGCTCAGCACTATTCTATTTCATATCAATTACTGTATTTACAGTACATCTGTTCTATTTCAATGTAAATGTCCTAAGCAAATAAATCAGTGGAAATATTACACAGTTAATCAAATAAAAAAAATCATGAAAATTTATTTCAAAATGAGTTTCAATATCCTTTTCAAATGTGACAGGCTTATTCTATGTAATTAATATAGGAAAACATCTATTTGCCTGATGGAACTCTTTAGTTGCCACGAGCAAGCAGACAACTGTTAGTGTTGAGTGCTGGCTATGGATAGTGCTTATATTCAGCATAAGTTAATTTTTAAAAATCTACTGTTTAAACCTAAAACATCATTGTACTCCCACATAGAACATGCATGATGCAGGTATAATCAGATAAGATACAATTTTCATGTCAAATACACGTGACAGTAGTAATATCACAGTACATGAGGGATTATCCTATCCATAATCCATTGTATAATACTACTGTTTACAACCAAGCTCTGGGTCAGGGGTAAACAGATGTAGTTTTACTTTCATCACATGTAAATGATCAAGGGAAAATGAGACACGAAATGGTAAATAAAAGAATAAATAAAATTTCTAAAGAAAAAACAGGAAATGAATATGAAAAATGTGGATAGAAATTAGACCAAAGAGTATTACAACTAAAGTCTGCTGAATCACCATGAACCTTGGAGATGTTATTGATTTTTGTCTGGTGAATAATTGTTTCACTTGAAACTGCAGAAGACTTCGATCGATCCTGCTGTACTGAAAATTTCCAGTTGTTTCTATCACCACTTATCTGGACATCCATGTATTCAATGGAGGCAGTAGTGAATATCCTAGTTATTTTAAACACTATTATCACTTGTGTATGTAGTTATGGGTCAGATAATCATGTTCTGTTTGCTTAATGCACTAAATGTTGCATATATACTATTTAACAGAAAGTTTGTTAAAATGTTTGTTTCAGGGGAATTCATTCAGACAAAATGACTCAAAACCTAATTACTGGTACTTAATGAACTACCTTATCACTACCATATAGACCTAAACATAATATTTCTAGAAAACTTACAAATGCACAGTGATATATCAAATACCAATAGTTCCTGGTTGTTTTATTAAGTTTTACAACAGAACAGAATCATCTGATGGATTTTTGAAAATATGACATAAACATGATGTTATGAGGGGAAAGCATCTGATGTCATGAGCAGTACCAGACTTGGCTGGCCAGCATAAAGAGACCAGGTGTCAAAAAGAAACAACCAACCCTATGGAATATGGGGAGATGGACTTTTGTCCATATTTCATGGCACAGCCATAACAACAACAACTCATCACATGAATGATGCATATACCCTGCATATCTGTGAATATACCAGTTTAAAGCATCATTTTCTCCACTGCTTCACATATACTAGTATTGTGTATGAACTACACATGTATACATGTTCTGCTACCAAGGTCACACCCCCCCCCAAGTGACACAAGTGCCACCCCCACTTCATGATATTCAGTTTCTTCTTAAAGAAAACTAATATAAACATTAACATAATGGTTTTCAATTGACTAAATAATTATTCTTAGTTAGCTGTACATTAAAATGTATATTTTGCCAGAATGCCATCATTAAAAATGTTGGTATTTTTAAAAAAAATTCTAAGAGGCCAGCAGGATTCCCATTTTCTCACCCTTCCCTCTCAACCAAAATATTCCTTCCTACTGTAGTAGCTGGCTGGGGGTAGACACAGCCCTGATAGCTCAGTGGTAGAACACTCACATGGTAAGTAAGCATTCTTGGTTCCATCCACTGTCAAGTCGGGCATTTTTCAAAAAGAAAAAGAAATCTAAGTGGCCAGCAGGTTTCGCATTTGCCCACCCCTCCCTATCAACCAAGATATTCCTTCCTACTGTAATGTCTAGCTGGGGTTGAACGTGGCGCGATAGCTCAGGGGTAGAATACTCGCACTCTGGTAAACGAGCATTTTGAGTTTGATTTCTAGACAAGTCAGGTTTCTTCCCAAAAATGCTACAATGGTGGCAGCAGTGTAAGGAGTGGTGGACTCTTTTGGAATTAAGGGGAGAAGAGTGTAGTGACTGGCCATGGTACTGTACAACCAGGCTCGAAAGCTCAGTGGTAGAGCACTTGCAAGATGAGCGATTGTCCCAGGTTTGACCCTGGTCGAATCATGTATTTTCTCCCAAAATGCTACACCACAAAAACTTTAAAACATATCCTTATTGAAAACAACAGAATATGGCACGGGAACCAACCTCCAATTTTTGGGCATATTCTTCTGCCAGCTGTTCATTTTTCTTTTGAAGCTCTTCATTTCTCTCCAATAAGGCTTTGCCAAGCTGAGCTGCCAGTAACAGGTCCTGTTCTTTTTGCTGCAATTGCACATAAACGTCGTCCGCATCATTTTTAACTTGGCCCTGCTGCTCCTGTGATTGCTGTTCGTTTCTCTCCATATTATTGAGGTATGCATTGCAGTATTCTTCGAATTCCCCAGGTGAAACCGGAGAGTTGGGGGACGTTGCTTCAAAGCGACACGCGCACATTACAAACTGACACGAGAAAAGTCAGCCACATAAACTGTAATCAGTAATGACGCTTCCTTTCTTTCGATATTCACTGCTCCACGTTTGCAATGTCACTGTTTGGCAATCAGATGGCTGATTACATTAGCTCCTAACATCAAAACGTCATTCGATGACAGTGGCTCAGAAACACTGGATGTTGTTCCTATTAAACCCATCAAGTTGTTGTTCTCTCCTTGACTAAACCTACGGTGTAGTGAAACCGATTGTCAGTATGGTTTGTCTCTTTACACTTCTGCCTTCTTGACCCTTTTCACCGAATAAAAAAAGCCGTAAGGAAATTGTCAGTATATGCTCTATGAACATTTGGTCTCGTTAGACTATGAACCCAAATTAAACTCGAAATACTTTTCAAAAATATACGATTAAAGAAAATAGTAAACACGTTTGGAATAAGATGCTGTCGTAAATTTGCAAACGCTATCAAATAAACATTTATCATTCAGTTGCAATCACTTACGGCTCACATCTTGACCTATTTATCGTAGCCAATGGAAATTAAGCATGTTGTAGAATTTTAGCCAATCAAATTTAAAGAGGCTCGATACTGCCGCGGATTTTGAAGTGAAGAAGCAACAACGGTGATAGTAGAATATTAGTTGTAATAAATGCGTAACCAAAGCTGACACTAACATTCGTAAGTATTTGTCTTATTTCAAGTTCAAAGTGAAGTAAATACACCAATTGGTACATGTGTGCATTGTATGCTGGCGGGTATTCTGCTTGAGTTTGACTTTAAAAAGTCTTATTACTAAAATTTTCATCAGATCATACGAATCATATTTCATTTTGAGTATAATTATTTTATGTTGAAATGGAAATCAAGCCGTTTTGACTTTATTGCAAGGTCTTCTTCATGTGAACGGACTTGGAATGTCACCATGGTGATGATCTACACTAATACATAACTGTAACAGTATTCACTAAGATTCATTTATGTTTCAGAGTTGAAGGTACAGTAGGAGAACAGCTAACAATGTCAGACTGTTCCAAAGACCCTATTGTGAGTAGGGTAATACGTTTGAACCAGCTCTTCCTGGGCAAAACATGTCATCAAGCTAAAGCCCAGCTGGGTAGGGAAGGTTTACTGGATGCCCTGTTTGTCCTGTATGAAGAATGCAACAATGAACACATGCTGAAAAATGAATATGTTGCTGCATTTGTTGAAAAGTGTAAGTAAAATTCGAACATGATTGTTGTTATTGTTTTTTAACAAAAAGGCTGTGACATTTAACATTTTTGTCTTTGGAAAGCACACATATAACTGATGATTTTTCTTGAAAAATATGCAACCACGAGCATTAGATCCATACTTTTTTATAGGACTGTAAGGCAGGATAAAGCTTACCAGTGGTGAAGCAAAACTGACAACGATGAACAGAAGATTTATAAAAAATTTATATTTTATTTGCTTATATGTAATAATTTGATACATTTCTCACAGCATATATGACATTTTGGGTGCATAGCATAGATTATATGAATTGTTTACAACTTTTATTTCAGTTCGCCACTTTTTGTCTGAATTACGCGAGCTAAGGATAGGAGTGTCAGATTTTGAAGTGGAGAAAGTTATTGGACGAGGTCATTTTGGAGATGTTCAGTTAGTGAGAGAAAAACAAAATGGAGATGTATATGCCATGAAAGTACTGAGGAAGAGTGATACATTATCCCAGCAAAATGTAAGTTGTGCTTTTTGTGAAATAAATTCATTGTTTTTATTTGAATGCTGTTAGATAACTTCTTATTTACAAAATGAGAATAATGAGTTTATTTATTTATTTTTTAATAAGAGAGATTTGATAATAGTTATCAGGTGTGTGTATTAAGATTATTTTAAAGTCATTATTACCATTACCACGTTTGTTTAGATTCTAAAGAAAAATCCTATGTTTGTTTTAGTATCAAGCATGTTGAATGAGAGGTGTCAACAGTCATCAGTAAATGAAACCTGCTTGTTGTTAACATTGATTTCAGGTTGCATTTTATGAAGAAGAGAGAGATATCATGGCTAAAGCTAATAGCACCTGGTTGACACAGCTCCAGTATGCATTCCAGGATGCACATCATCTCTATCTCATCATGGAGTTCCACCCTGGAGGAGATTTGCTCTCACTCCTTGGCAGGTTAGTATGATGTGAACCTGATATAAGGATAATGAATGATAGGTGTTATAACTTTTTGTAAATTCTTTTATTGGGAGTAAAATCAATTTAATTGAACATAGTATATTTTAAAAGTATGAAACTAAACCACTTTACTTGTATCAGTGGAGTCTATGTTGTAGCTATCAGTCATGAAGAATGACACAAATGGTAGGAATTAGCCACATGGGATTACTTAAATAACATCTAAGATATCCAAAGTTTAAGTGCTCTATCTATTACTTCCCTTCAGATATGATGATGTATTTGAAGAGAGTATGACCAGGTTTTACCTGGCAGAGATGGTCCTGGCTATACATAGTCTGCACACTATGGGATATGTGCACAGGTGAGATTATGGTAATTTGCAGTTGTACATGAAATTTATATCTAAAAATGAATTTTCTATGTATCACCCGAAACACCTTCCAATTTATGTAAACTGACTGAAGATGTCATATCCCTCAAATACTAGTTAACCATGTGTCCAACATGGAAAAGGTATAACCTGTAAATAATTTTGGTGAAAATGTTTGCCACTATCTACAGACTTGAGGTCTTGCTGATAAGTGTTAATTTGTGTTTCAGAGATATCAAGCCAGAAAATATATTGATAGATAGAACTGGTCATATCAAGCTGGCAGATTTTGGATCGGCTGCAAAACTAACAGCTGCAAAGACAGTAAGTTACATAAATGTGATTTTATAAATGAGATCATGCTCACATGAAAAAGACCAAAAAATGTATGCAGAAAAATTTAAAAATTGGTTATTATCATAAGTGTAATAGCCTTATTGATGCCATCTATGAATTTGGGATGACTAATTCCCAAAATATGTCTTCTTGCAGGTGATCTCTAAGATGCCAGTGGGCACCCCAGACTACATAGCCCCCGAGGTTCTGATGTCCATGAACAATGAGAAGGGCACTGGTAGCTATGGAGAGGAGTGTGACTGGTGGTCCCTGGGCTGTGTGGCTTATGAGATGTTGTATGGGAACACACCTTTCACGGATGAGAACTGCTCTGCCATGGTCACCTACAGTAACATCATGGACTACAAGGTGAGGGGAAACTCACCTATGACATTTTGTGTTTTTTCTCTTTGAATTGTAGATTAAGTTTGACCCCTGTTATTCAACCATTGACATTGATCTTAAAAGAATTTATCATTTGTAAGTCTTGAAAGAAAGGTCTATTAGAATTTCCACCCTAAGGACAGATGATTGATGAAATTGAAAATTTCACCCTTCATAGTTTTTGTTTGATTCATGAATTGTGGAAGTCAGTTTTAAATGGACTATCTAATTATTTGATATTTTGTATATTTCTCTTTTTTCCTCAGAATCATTTAAAGTTCCCTGCAGACACCCCAGTGTCTGAGTCCTGCACAGATCTGATGAAGCGCCTCCTGACCCATGCTGACCGCAGGCTGGACTACCAGGGACTGTGCCACCACAAGTTCTTCAGTACAATAGACCTCACCAACATCAGGCAAAGTATGTGTGGTGAATTATTACAGGATTTGTTAACTGTCAAGATGTATGTAATATTGAATTCACAGAAAATTAATTGTTGGGTAGACAGTAGAGCTTTATCTTTTCTCTTTTGAGGACGTTTTTGTGCATGCTTCCAATTCTCCATCATTTGTATTTTTTAATTTTATTTTATTCATTATTTATCATAATTATTTTCAGCTAAACCCCCATTCATACCCACTGTTAACAGCCTGGATGATACTTCAAACTTTGATGAGTTTGATAAAATACCAGAGGAGCCGTCCATAGATGACTTCAAGACTAGAAGAGAGTTTTCTGGAAAAGATCTTCCATTTATTGGGTTTACCTACACCAAAGCACCACCAAGCATTGAAAGGTATGAAGTTAGCGTGTAAGAATTATAAATGCAACCTTGATTTTTTTTCCGTTTTTGATGCAAACAATAAAAAAGATATTATGATGTAATTGAATTTCTAAGTGAAAGTCTAGAATTAATTGAAGCTTTTAATACATTACTCTGAAGTAGGCTTTCTGACATTAACAGGAGTCCACTTCTACCACTTTTGACCACTGAACAGGCTCAACCAGTCTGACACCTCCATAACCTCGGAATAAGTAACTAAATTACTAATTTTAATTCTTAAATTGATAAAAAACTTAAAATATATTACTTCAAATAAGGTCATTTTTTGCCACTTTTGACCATTAAACAGGCTCAGCCAGTCTGACACTTCTATGACTTCGGTAACAAACACGGACCACATAGAGAAGCAGCTGTCCCTGAAGAACCAGCAGCTCCAGAACACCAAGGTGAAGTGTATGGAGCTGGAGAGCCTGGAGTGCTCCATGAGGGAGGATGCCACCAAGCTGGAGAACAAGATGCTGGAGAAAGATGAACTTGTGAAGAAACTGAAAGACGAAAGAGACATTTTGGAAAGGGACATGGCTTCTTATATAACTGAAATAAGTGTGAGTGTTTTAGTTATTCTAGACATAGGGAAGTAATATAGACCCAAGTGCATTAAAATTGTACCAGGCAGGAAAGCTAATTAATGTAATGCCCATTGTATTTTGCCTTCATTTGACAGAATTATGTCTTGTATACAGTTTCACTTATATAACTCCTTATGCCTGTATTTTTAGAATTTAAAAAGACTTCTGCAGTTTGAAAAAGAGGAGAGGATAAAAACAGACGAGAGGGCCATGCAGCTGTTAGGGGACATCAGGGAGCAAGCTCAACAATTCCAGAAAATGAGAGAAGAGAACAACAGGTTTGTGTTTGTCTGTCAGAATTTTGTGTTGAAAAATTGCCTTTGCTTCCAGTCTGGTTTATGATCAAGCAAATGAGAGGTCTATGTTAAGAACATACATGGCAGGAATTTTTAAATGTATGTTTTTAAGAGAAATTTGGCACTGATATGATTTAAAGAAGTGCTCTAGCTGGTATAGCTATCACCAGTTTTCATTAGGAAGGTTGTTGATGGTAGATAGTTATCCACATTCCAGAGCGACACTGGAGGAACACAAGGAGATCATCTCTCAGCTGGAGCAGGAGAAGTATGCTGTGAGCAGGAGGGCAGACAAACTGGAGAAGGAGCTGAAGAGATCAGAGAAAGAGGCAGAAGAGTGGCAGAAGAAGGCTGAGAAGTGGCAGCACAAGTATGACAAGGTAGATATGACTCATTTATACTTTCTCTGTTAATGCACCGGTTTGTGGTATTTGTTTTGAAAAACTTTATCAAAGTAAAACTTTGCTGATGGACTTGGTGGGATGTCCTTCAAATTGCAGTTTAACATTAAAAATGAAATTCTGCGAAAATATCAAGGATAGTTGACATTTGAAACTAGGGCTCACATTGTCTTTTTGGCATTAAGCAAGAGCTTTTTGACTCCAGATGAAGGAGAACACCAGGAGGAGCTCCCAGGTGTTCAAGTGTGAGATGAGTATTTCCTCAGAGCAGCACCAGTCAGAGGCGGCTGAACTCAGAGCTAGGCTAGAGAAGGTAAGGTGTCAATGATATTGTAGTACTGGAGATGAAATTGGTGGATCAGACATATTGCGTCTTATCATTGCCAAGTCATGTTTGATTTGAAAGTTTTGTGAATATTTAGTTATGGAAATATCGATCAGTATCATCAAATCCAGAACAAAAGCTAAGAACTACCTCATCAGCATAATCTCAAAATAACTGGGTGTCTTAGCAGCATATGTGCTATATTATATCATACATCATGCTTTTCATGCGGAAAAGCACTTTTTAGTTATGTGTGTATTAGCTTTCTTTCAAATTGTATATCTGCATATATTTTCTAAAGGAGCAACTTGAGAGCGAGATATCTCCCAAAAAGGAGGTAACTGTATTGCTATAAGATTTGGTTTCATGTGTTATTATGTTATTACTAACCATGTAATTGTGTTTATTTGCAGAAAATTAGTTTTCATGTTGATTTTTCTTATTAAGTTATAACATATATAAAACCAAGATGTAATTAAAGAAAAAAAGCCAGTTATTCTGAAATTTAGTGTTCAGATGTTTACCAGGATGTTGCAATGGAAGGAAGTTTTGATTACTTGTCTTGTGTCCTCTTTTCATGAAGCTTGGTTTTGAGATTGAGTTTTTTTTGAAAATTGAGATTAGCACTTGATTTTACATAAGAAAGTATTTTTTTACCAAAATAATTATTAGTTGCCTGTAGGAAGTATCGGCACATTCCACAGCACATATTCTTGGAACATATAACAGCAATGCTGCACTTAAGTCATATTTTTAAAACTTATTTCTGAATCCATTTTTTCAGATGACTCGTCAGAACTGCGAGACATGTGAGTTATTAGAGAAGGTACGCAAGGCCAAAGAGAAGGTGGAAGAGGAGCTGATCTCTCTGAAACAGAAAGTTGGAGACGAGAATGTCAGAATCAAGCTGTTTGAAGCAGAGGTAGGATGGTGTTGATAAGTGATACCCAGTCTCTGTGAATAAAATCTCTAAGCAAATATACTGTACTATTAGAATGTATAGGGCAGTTTTGAATTAATTTCTGTTTGTTGAATTTGTCCAACAGCATGTAAGGGTTTTACTTTTTGTACCTGTTTGAATTTTGAAATGGGGTAGTTTTGAAACCCAGTATGTAAATATTCATCTTTCCATGGACGTTTGAGTAGTTATGCCACACTTGTTGTTGTATTTAGGAGAAATGTCAGGCGCTGGAGGATGAGCTTGAAAAGCTGAAGAGAGCTGATAACAGAGAGGAGTCCAACAAGGCAGAGCTCAAGGAGAAGAGCAAACGTATACAGCTGCTGACGACAAAAGTTACTGTAAGTAAATAAGACTTTGGATGTGGAAGGATATTAAAACCTTGATGTAAATGCAAATAGTTTATTTGATAGAGTACTTTTTAACCTAATCTTTAACAATTCATAAAGCTTACTGTTTATAACATTGATCCTAATTATATTTACTTCATGCTTATTTTAACAGGATCTGGAAGATGAACTCCATGAGAAGGAGCAGCACCACCAGAATCAGGCCAAACTTTTCTTTGACAAGAGAACAGAGCTGCAGGATAAAATACAGGTGATACAAAAATAAAGGTGTCTCTGAGCTTGTCTATTAAGAATTTAATTTAATGAAAAAGCTTTATAACAATTAAATGGCCTGAAAAAAATTAACTACTTCCTTTTCTTTCCAGAGTTTGGAGAACCAGGTTGCCAAACTGAATGAGGAGAAACACATGATAGAGCTGAACAGCACCATCTCCATCGATGACTATGAGGAGAAGGGGCAGAAGGTCCTGGAGATGGAAAATGTAAGGGTGACCAGTAAAGTTCTGGATGCAATCATTGATGAAATTTCTCTTATTAAAATAACTAAGAGTTTTGATGAACGAAAATATTTTGTTATTAATAAACATTAAAAATTACATTTCCCCTTGGCTAAGTAAAAATGGTGAACATTTACTTTGTCATGGTGAGCTAAGAGTTTTTGATTTTCTGTGTTTGGATTTTGGATACATGCTCTTTTGAGATTATAAATGTCCAGTAGTTATGTGTTCAAGTACAGATTTTGTCATAGCAATTGCTTCTGCTACAATAACATATTAAAATGAGTAGGTTTTTTTGTGTGTGTGTTGACATTGATATTATTACCTTATTTAGTATCATTTAAATTTGGCTGTTTTCCTCCCTCAGACTATAGCTATGATGAAGACAACCATGGCACACCTCCAGAAGCAGGTGGATGAGTACAAGAAGATGGAAGGTTCCATTCCAGAACTCAAGGAATCCAGGTGTGTACTCATAGTACCACTCACAGTTACAAATCTTTGAAAATGCATTGCAATTATATCATGAGTAGCCCCAACCAGGTGAAACGTTTCTCATGGAAAAAAAGATAATGTCTCAGAAAAACTTTAAGTGACAATGTTTTGGACTTGTAGGGTACAATCTGTATATACTGTTACCCCGTTCACACTACGCTCAGTTATCCGGATAAGTTGCGAATTAGGTCACAATTCGAATAAATGCAGTAGTGTGAACGCAAGAGGATTTTGAAAATGTGCATTTTCAAAATCCTGCAAGCGAGGTGGATTTCTAAGCGCGATCCGGATAACTTACCGGAATCGACACCTGTACAGATCTTACTGCGCATGTGTGCAGATAAGTGCGGGTATCTATGAACGCTGGTTTATTACTTTAGCGATTACACCAAACGTATTTGGAGGTCACCACTCACTACAACATGAGGAAACAAACTTATTTTGCCACCTTATACTTCTCAAGAATGCTGGAATGTCTTTTGAGTTGCATTTGTCGTCACAAATTTTTGTTGATATTTTAAGATTTTCTGTGCAGCGCATGCGCGAGTGTTCAAAACAGGAAGTTAAACCTGAAATTTTCAACGTGGGATTCGGATTCGCTTAGCGAGTGTGAACGCAATACCGAATCGGATTCCTTACGAAAAATCCGAATTATAGAAATGCGCATTTTGGCAACTGTAGTGTGAACGGGGTATGTGTCATTAAAAAATCAAGAGTTGATACTATGACCTGGAGCTGGAGAAATATAAAATGTAGTTTGTGTGTGTGCATGCGTGCGTGCATGTGTGCCATTTAAGAAAAATTGGAGAGGATTTTTGGTGACTTGGAGCAAGGGTAACTAATATATGTGGTATATCTGTGTCTCAGAAAAATCAAGGAGGGTCGTATCTGTGACCTGGAGCAGGAGAAGAAGTACTTTGAGAAGAGGATAGAACAGCTGGAGATGCAGGTGCAGCAGATGCAGACCAGGATGGACTACAACAGGAAGAGGGTCATCGAGGTGCAGTCTGAGATGCAAGTGGTACGTGGAACAAACCAGTCAACTTATCAGTATGTAGAATGAACCAGTCAGTAATTCAAACCATCATGTTTTGAGAAGTAAAATATTTATTGGTGTGACTGTTTATAAAGTCCTGGTACATTTGTTTATCCAGGAGTATGAAAAGCACCAGACAGAAGTGAAGACAATCCGCACCAAGCTCCAGGAATGCGAGCGTTTAGCAGATGACGCCAAGCTGAAGAAGTCCCAGTGGGAAGCTGTGGAGAAGAGCCTGAAGAGCAAGGTGGAAGAGCTGCAGAAGGGAGAGAAGCAGCTGAAGGCTAGGATTGCTGAGCTTGAGGTGGAGGGCAAGCATGCAGAGAAGGAGGCAAAGGAGAAAATTGCAAATCTGGAGGTACAGGATACTGCTCGGTGGTTACCAAAAGATTGCATTCTAAAACTTTCATAAAGAAAGTGCTTGTGATGATACATCTTATTTTTTGAAAATGGGTTTTACGTGCTATGCAATGTGATTTTAGCAAGTAGGTTAAGAGGCTTATACAGTCTTCTCTGTAGATATTCAGTAAATTTTCAGTGACTTATTTTTATTTTCATAGCGTGAGAAGTCCACAGTAGAATCCAGGCTTGCAGCTGCAAAGAATTCCAGCTCTGTAAGTTTATCTGATTGACAGATCAACTTATAGCTTGGATATATAAAAATATAACAGTATAGAAAATGAAATACATCAATAAGGTAGAATCTATGAACAATGCATGAGTATTTGTGGTTTTAGAAGACAATATTTTAACAATCTTTTCATGCACCTTTTCCTTTCTACTTTGTGTAATTGTATGCCCCCTTTAAAGATAAAGTGATTTCAATTGTAGGAAATGGAGAAGAAGGTCCAGAAGGCTGCCGAAGAGAAGATGAAACTGGAGGCACGTCTAAATGAGGCCAGGCAGGAGTCGCAGGATAACAGCGGGAAGCTCAGGAAGCTGGAAGAGGTAACAGGAATGCTGGACTCTAAGAAGAGTTCAGAAATGATGATAATAAATATGAAAGCAGGGAAACTACTTCAGTCTTGGTTATGTATTTGGAATTATTTAAGTCTCTCTTACATGTTTAAGGGTGATATAGATCGTCAATTTACTTATATTTTTAAAGCAATTGACAGCGGGTGTATATAAGTATTTTTAAAGGTGTTTGGAATGATATTTGAAATAATATTTTCTACATTTTATTCCACCACAGCAAAACAAGCAGCTGAAAATGGTGTGCACCGAGCTGGAAAGTCAGATAGAGGACATGGAGGCTCTCAACCTGGACCTGGAGGAAAATGATGGCAAGCTGGTGGAAGAAAAGTAAGCTTTTCATGTGAATGTGTGGGTGGGTGGTTTCAAAGAATAATTTTTCAGTTTTGTTATTTAAAATGAGATGGTTTGAAATGCAAAATGAGTGTAATGTGGTCCAGTGAGTACCTATTAACCTAATCCTTGATGATTATTTCTGTGTTTGTGCTGCAGGAATAACCTGGAGAAGAAGCTGGATAGTCATGAAGAGGATGTGGCAAAACTCAAGTCAGAACTTAGCTCTGTTCATCAAGCAAGGTGTGTTTAGTCCTTTGTACACATTCTACTATTTTCTTTAAAGAATGGTATCGAAAATTTAGCAATTAGCATTATCGTATAGTGTGCAGTGGTGAAAATTTATTTGCATTATACATTGTTAGGTAATTCAATTGGAAGAAATGCTGTTCTCCTAAAAGGGAATCATAAACTGTATTTTATGAAGAAGTTTTTATATACTCAAAGTGTTTTTCATTTTAGGTTCAAGAGCAAAAAATGGTATCATTGTTATTGTTTATGATTTCATTGATGTTTTTTTTTTCCAATTTGTTGTATTCAAAGTTTGTTGTTGATTTTGGACATTTTACTTGCTGTTGCTTGCAACAACAGTAATTGATTTTAGAACTAAATGTTTGGCACACTTTAATTTTTAGTTGAAGTTTTCTTGTTTTGATACACATGTATATTAAAAGTATCCTAGCAGAGATTTGTTCGCAAAATTGAATTTCCTTTAAAACAAAAGCAATTTTCTCCTACTCTTGGATCTTTTCTAATTCAGTGGTTTTGCTCTAAATGACTGGCCTGTCAGTTAGACCACCAGTGTCTTTTATCTGAAGGTTTTTATTACTTTTAATTGAATTGAGAAAATCAGTAGCTTTGTAGGTTATGTAGACATAGAAAATATGACTTACAAAGATTTTCAAATGTGGATAGTTTGCCTCTAACTGTTCTTCTGTGTTCCTCATGAAGGTTGTTGGTAGAGAAACGTTATGATGAATTGAATCAGCTGTACGACACCACAGTGGCTGCTCATCAGCTGGAAGTGAACACCCTGACTGGGAGACTTGCAGAACAAAAAGAAAGAAATGACAAGATTTATAAGCAGGTATTTTTCACTAATTCTGCTTTGAAACTGTGTCTAAATATTGGTTTGAATGAGTTTACTATTTGCTAAACTTTTGCCTCTTTTTAATATAGCTCTAAAATATGACTTTCTTTTATTTTGAAGTACTTGATCAGTGAGAATATGACTTATACTGTATCATGATATAGTAAGAATAAAATAAACCTGGTAATCAAGGCATGAATGATTTTCATCAAATAAAAATTCTCATTATTCCAAGTTTTCTGTTAAAAAGAAAAAAAGTAATCAACCCCTTTGTGTGTGACAAAATAACACAGCTGTGTCTCACCGTCTCGCGTCTGTCCTTGCAGCTGCTTGAGATGGAGTCCCTGAAGTCTGACCTGGAGCTGGAGGTGAAGAACCTGCAGAGAGAGGTGGACGCCCTCACACAGGAAAATGTGGGCATCAAGGAGGAGGTATGAAACAGCATGGCCGGCTCTCAAAGCTCATGATTTATGTTCATTGTACTTGCTTGAATTATCTGAAAGATCTCAAAATGCATGTGTGTGCGTGCGTGCATGCTTGTATGGGTGTGCATGCCTGTGTGAGTGTGTGTGTGTGTGTGTGTGTGTGTGTGTGTGTGTGTGTGTGTGTGTGTGTGTGTGTGTGTGTGTGTGTGTGTGTGTGTGTGTGTGTGTGTGTGTGTGTGTGTGTGTGTGTGTGTGTGTGTGTGTACATGTGCATGCACTAAATTTTACCTGTTTTCATTACATTGTAAATTTGTATTTCTAACACAATAGTCTTGGTCATATTTTCCCCCTTCCAGATCTCTGTAATGATCACCACAACCAAGAGCCTGAAGACCACCAACTTCAAGCTGGCCCAGGGTCTGGAGGAGGCTGTGGAGAAAGGAGAGATGCTGAAGGAGGAGAACTCAGAGTTGCAGAACAGGATAGAATCTGTACAGGTATGGCTTTTATAATGTATGAGTAAGGGAAGAATGCCCACCAAGATTTCAGTGTAGATAAACTAGTGTATTAGGTATTGGTTCTGGATGTGCAGTCAGATTGACAACACTTTTACAAGATGGGACAGGTTTTATGAAGATATTGAAATAATGATAAAACCTAAAGATGAATATTGTTTATGAGATGGAATTTGCATGTATCTGATGGATCTTACAAACTTGAAATCTTCTCTTTCTCTAGGTTCAGCACAGCCAGGAGAAGTTCAAGCTGGACAGCACCATAGCTCAGCAGACTAAACTCATTGACTACCTGCAGTCTAAAACAGAGAATCCTCCTAAGAAAAAGAAGGCCATATTCAGCAGCACCTCTAAGCCCAAGCCAGGCAGCACCCCTGCCCCAGTGACCAGCACCAACCAGGTGAGGGACCTCCAGGGCAGGCTGGAACACGAGAGAACCAAGAACCAGGACTTGAGAGAACAGATCATCAAACTGCAGAGTCAGGTGCAAGAACTAAAGAGAGACCTAGGTGAGTAGGCTTGTTTGTGTGACACACTAATTATGAAACCTCTGTTGTCTTTATTATGTATAATATAGGTGTTTTAGCATGGTGGAATATTCATGGTTTATTGATGTTTTAAAAGAAAAAAAAAGAGGGAGAACAGATCTGGCATTTACTGCATATTAGTGGGTTGCTATTTGTGCCTAATGCAGAGTTCATGTTGTCTGCAATAAGTTAAAGAAATTGAGTCTCTTTTTTCTCTTCCAGACAAGAAGGGTATGGGAGTTCAGCAGAGTGAGGCTCCCATTCCAGCCAGGTACAAGACCTCTCTGGCCTTCCAGTTCAGTGCCACCGACCTCCTCAGGGCCACCAGGGACAGGGACGAACTGGACACTTCGTCCAGCAGCTCAGGGTCGTCCAGTCAGGGGCAGGAGAGGATGAGACATAACATCCCTCACAAGTTCACCACTGGACTGAACACCAGGGCCAGGCAGTGTGCTGTATGTCTGGGGACCATTCCCTTTGTCAAACAGGCTTCTAAATGTACAGGTCAGTTGTTGTTGTTGTTATTTTAGATTTATGCATTTATTATTCGATTTAGTTAATATAGATTTTGAAATGCAGTCTGAATTAATCACTCTGATCTTTGAGGTATTAAGGCAGTGCTTAATTCTCAGCATTGCCAAGTCAGTGTTAGCTTTTGTGGTAATACAGGGAGTAATTAATGTTCGAATAGTGGATAGTGTAATGGGAATAGTATATATCCTATTACTTTGTATTGACTTAAAATAAGATTCAGATAGTCTATGTAGTGCTTATGATAAGATAATGATAATAAGTTAGTATTATCACATCTGCCCCTGTAGAGTGTAACATAGTGTGCCACCCCAAGTGTCACCAGGCCCTGGCAGCCACCTGTGGTCTCCCCACTGAGTACATGGAGCACTTCACGGCCAGGATGAACAGGAGGGACATGTCCCCGACCTCGCGCTCCTCCAGCAGTGACCTCAGCTGGACTGAGATGGAGGGATGGATGAAGATACCAAGGTAATGACACCCAGAGTTGGGAGTTGGATAATAGAAAATATCTTTTGAATTTGCTGAAGGATTCTTCATGGCTTTTTAACACGTTCTCTCTGATATTAGAAAACTTTAAGATCTCGCCAAGTGGCTCTAAGAATTTGAATTCACTGATGACTTTTCAGGGTTATATTTCTTATATAGTCTGTCATAGGAGAAAACTTCTAAAAGATCTATTCAAGAAGCTCAAGAAGTATTTTTAGAGGCTTAATTTTGCAGTATTAAAATAACTTCATTTTTTCAACACAGCAAATCTGGCAAGCAGGGCTGGGAGAAGAAGTGGGTCACCTTGGAGGACACCAAGCTGTGTATATTTGATGACCACACCTGCCAGACCATGGTGGACGAGTTTGACCTGTGTCCACCCAAGGGGACGGTGTCCCTCCACACTGCGGTGTCCCCTGCGGAGATCAACACGACGGCTGTGGCAGACCTGAGGTTCATCATGAAGCTGGAGGCCAGGTCTCACACCACCTGCTGGCCTGGAAGGTGAGGGCTCAACACATAATGTATTTCTTCTTATATTTACCTACTTTTTCATCCCCTGCCCCTCCCACCCTCCACCCACCCACCCACCCCCCATTTAACACAACTTCGACTTTATAACATACTTAATGACTTTGCCTTGGGTTGTGATCATTTACCTAGTGTAGAGATAAAATCACATTCCTCCATGTTATTTTTTCCAGAACAATGTATTTGATGGCTCTGAGTTTTCCTGAGAAGCAAAAGTGGATAGCTACAATAGAAGCCATTATCAACCAGCAGGATGAGGATGACAGAGAATTCCAGGCGGTGAGTGTTCTCAAACTCTTGGGTCTGTTTTCTAAGACCTATCAAATTTCAGCAAAAGCCCACTGGCAATTTTGTTCTTTTATAGATTCATGCATTTAAAAAATTAACTTTTTTTTGTGATAGTTAACTGGTTTATTTGGAAGTTGTCTACCTTTTCCTTTGACAGTCAATTTTGTTTTGATTTCCAGAAAGTTCTAGGTAACTCCATCCTGCGAGTTAAAGGCAACAGCAGAATTGACGTGAACTGCACACTGTTGCTAGACAATCAGGTGAGATGATCACCCGTGTACATTTACTCTGACATGCATGTACACACAAGTCAAATCCACAATATGTAGTGCAAGTCTTATCATTCACGTCAGAGCCCAAAATTGAATACAGTTATGTGTGAAACATAATACAGCATCTCTAGGTATGTTATAAGATTGAACTACTTGCTGCCAGATGGCTTGTTCNTTTTTAAAAACTTTATTAAAGTAAAATTTTGCTGATGGACTTGGTGGGATGTCTTTCAAATTGCAGTTTAACATTAAAAATGAAATTCTGTGAAAATATTAAGCAAGAGCTTTTTGACTCCAGATGAAGGAGAACACCAGGAGGAGCTCCCAGGTGTTCAAGTGTGAGATGAGTATTTCCTCAGAGCAGCACCAGTCAGAGGCGGCTGAACTCAGAGCTAGGCTAGAGAAGGTAAGGTGTCAATGATATTGTAGTACTGGAGATGAAATTGGTGGATCAGACATATTGCGTCTCATCATTGCCAAGTCATGTTTGATTTGAAAGTTTTGTGAATATTTAGTTATGGAAATATCGATCAGTATCATCAAATCCAGAACAAAAGCTAAGAACTACCTCATCAGCATAATCTCAAAATAACTGGGTGTCTTAGCAGCATATGTGCTATATTATATCATACATCATGCTTATCATGTGGAAAAGCACTTTTTAGTATGTGTGTATTAGCTTTCTTTCAAATTGTATATCTGCATATATTTTCTAAAGGAGCAACTTGAGAGTGAGATATCTCCCAAAAAGGAGGTAACTGTATTGCTATAAGATTTGGTTTCATGTGTTATCATGTTATTACTAACCATGTAATTGTGTTTATTTGCAGAAAATTAGTTTTCATGTTGACTATTTTTCTTATTAAGTTATAACATAGATAAAACCAAGATGTAATTAAAGAAAAAAGCCAGTTATTCTGAAATTTAGTGTTCAGATGTTTACCAGGATGTTGCAATTGAAGGAAGTTTTAATTACTTGTCCTGTGTCCTCTTCTCTTGAAGCTTGGTTTTGAGATTGAGATTTTTTGAAAATTGAGATTAGTACTTGATTTTACATAAGAAAGTATTTTTTACCAAAATAATTATTAGTTGCCTGTAAGAAGTAGCAGCACATTCCACAGCACATATTCTGGAAACATATAACAGCAATGCTGCACTTAAGTCATATTTTTAAAACTTTTTTCTGAATCCATTTTTTCAGATGACTCGTCAGAACTGCGAGACATGTGAGTTATTAGAGAAGGTACGCAAGGCCAAAGAGAAGGTGGAAGAGGAGCTGATCTCTCTGAAACAGAAAGTTGGAGACGAGAATGTCAGAATCAAGCTGTTTGAAGCAGAGGTAGGATGGTGTTGATAAGTGATATCCAGTCTCTGTGAATAAAATCTCTAAGCAAAAATACTGTACTATTAGAATGTATAGGGCAGTTTTGAATTAATTTCTGTTTGTTGAATTTGTCCAACAGCATGTAAGGGTTTTACTTTTTGTACCTGTTTGAATTTTGAAATGGGGTAGTTTTGAAACCCAGTATGTAAATATTCATCTTTCCATGGACGTTTGAGTAGTTATGCCACACTTGTTGTTGTATTTAGGAGAAATGTCAGGCGCTGGAGGATGAGCTTGAAAAGCTGAAGAGAGCTGATAACAGAGAGGAGTCCAACAAGGCAGAGCTCAAGGAGAAGAGCAAACGTATACAGCTGCTGACGACAAAAGTTACTGTAAGTAAATAAGACTTTGGATGTGTAAGGATATTAAAACCTTGATGTAAATGCAAATAGTTTATTTGATAGAGTACTTTTTAACCTAATCTTTAACAATTCATAAAGCTTACTGTTTATAACATTGATCCTAATTATATTTACTTCATGCTTATTTTAACAGGATCTGGAAGATGAACTCCATGAGAAGGAGCAGCACTACCAGAATCAGGCCAAACTTTTCTTTGACAAGAGAACAGAGCTGCAGGATAAAATACAGGTGATACAAAAATAAAGGTGTCTCTGAGCTTGTCTATTAAGAATTTAATTTAATGAAAAAGCTTTATAACAATTAAATGGCCTGAAAAAAATTAACTACTTCCTTTCCTTTCCAGAGTTTGGAGAACCAGGTTGCCAAACTGAATGAGGAGAAACACATGATAGAGCTGAACAGCACCATCTCCATTGATGACTATGAGGAGAAGGGGCAGAAGATACTGGAGATGGAAAATGTAAGGGCTATCAGTAGATTCTGGGTGCACTATAGATGAAATTTCTTTTAGTCAAATAGCTGAAAGAATTTTGATGAACAAAAATATTTAACAAAAATGACAATTCCCCTTGGCCAGGTAAAAACGTTGAACATTTACTTTGTCATTGTGAGCTCAGCGTTATTGATGTCATGTGTTTGGATTTTGGATACATGTTTTTTTGACAATATGAATGTCCATTAGTTATGTGTTCAAGTACAGATTTTGTCGTAGCAATTGCTTCTGCTACAATAACATATTAAAAAGAGTAGGTTTTAGTGTGTGTGTGTGTGTGTGTGTGTGTGTTGACATTGATATTATTACCTTATTTAGTATCATTTAAATTTGGCTGTTGTCCTCCCTCAGACTATAGCCATGATGAAGACGACCATGGCACACCTCCAGAAGCAGGTGGATGAGTACAAGAAGATGGAAGGTTCCATTCCAGAACTCAAAGAATCCAGGTGTGTACTCTTAGTACCACTCACAATAACAAATCTTTAAAAAATGCATCGCAATTATATTATGAGTAGCTCCAACCAGGTGAAACGTTTCTCATGGAAAAAAAAGATAATGTCTCAGAAAAACTTTAAGTGACAATGTTTTGGACTTGTTGTAGGGTACAATCTGTATATACTGTGTCATTAAAAAATCAAGAGTTGATACTATGACCTGGAGCTGGAGAAATATAAAATGTAGTTTGTGTGTGTGCGTGCGTGCATGTGTGCCATTTAAGAAAAATTGGAGAGGATTTTTGGTGACTTGGAGCAAGGGTAACTAATATATGTGGTATATCTGTGTCTCAGAAAAATCAAGGAGGGTCGTATCTGTGACCTGGAGCAGGAGAAGAAGTACTTTGAGAAGAGGATAGAACAGCTGGAGATGCAGGTGCAGCAGATGCAGACCAGGATGGACTACAACAGGAAGAGGGTCATCGAGGTGCAGTCTGAGATGCAAGTGGTACGTGGAACAAACCAGTCAACTTATCAGTATGTAGAATGAACCAGTCAGTAATTCAAACCATCATGTTTTGAGAAGTAAAATATTTATTGGTGTGACAGTTTATAAAGTCCTGGTACATTTGTTTATCCAGGAGTATGAAAAACACCAGACAGAAGTGAAGACAATCCGCACCAAGCTCCAGGAATGCGAGCGTGTAGCAGATGACGCCAAGCTGAAGAAGTCCCAGTGGGAAGCTGTGGAGAAGAGCCTGAAGAGCAAGGTGGAAGAGCTGCAGAAGGGAGAGAAGCAGCTGAAGGCTAAGATTGCTGAGCTTGAGGTGGAGGGCAAGCATGCAGAGAAGGAGGCAAAGGAGAAAATTGCAAATCTGGAGGTACAGGATACTGCTCGGTGGTTACCAAAGGATTGCATTCTAAAACTTTCATAAAGAAAGTGCTTGTGATGATACATCTTATTTTTTGAAAATGGGTTTTACGTGCTATGCAATGTGATTTTAGCAAGTAGGTTGAGAGGCTTATACAGTCTTCTCTGTAGATTTTCAGTAAATTTTCAGTGACTTATTTTTATTTTCATAGCGTGAGAAGTCCAAAGTAGAATCCAGGCTTGCAGCTGCAAAGAATTCCAGCTCTGTAAGTTTATCTGATTGACAGATCAACTTATAGCTTGGATATATAAAAATATAACAGTATAGAAAATGAAATACATCAATAAGGTAGAATCTATGAACAATGCATGAGTATTTGTGGTTTTAGAAGACAATATTTTAACAATCTTTTCATGCACCTTTTCCTTTCTACTTTGTGTAATTGTATGCCCCCTTTAAAGATAAAGTGATTTCAATTGTAGGAAATGGAGAAGAAGGTCCAGAAGGCTGCCGAAGAGAAGATGAAACTGGAGGCACGTCTAAATGAGGTCAGGCAGGAGTCGCAGGATAACAGCGGGAAGCTCAGGAAGCTGGAAGAGGTAACAGGAATGCTGGACTCTAAGAAGAGTTCAGAAATGATGATAATAAATATGAAAGCAGGGAAACTACTTCAGTCTTGGTTATGTATTTGGAATTATTTAAGTCTCTCTTACATGTTTAAGGGTGATATAGATCGTCAATTTACTTGTATTTTTAAAGCAATTGACAGCGGGTGTATATAAGTATTTTTAAAGGTGTTTGGAATGATATTTGAAATAATATTTTCTACGTTTTATTCCACCACAGCAAAACAAGCAGCTGAAAATGGTGTGCACTGAGCTTGAGAGTCAGATAGAGGACATGGAGGCTCTCAACCTGGACCTGGAGGAAAATGATGGCAAGCTGGTGGAAGAAAAGTAAGCTTTTGATGTGAATGTGTGGGTGGGGGGTTTAAAAAGAAGAATTTTTCAGTTTTGTTATTTAAAATGAGATGGTTTGAAATGCAAAATGAGTGTAATACGGTCCAGTGAGTACCTAACCTAATCCTTGATGGATATTTCTGTGTTTGTGCTGCAGGAATAACCTGGAGAAGAAGCTGGATAGTCATGAAGAGGATGTGGCAAAACTCAAGTCAGAACTTAGCTCTGTTCATCAAGCAAGGTGCGTTTAGTCCTTTGTACAAATTCTACTATTTTCTTTAAAAAATGGTATCAAATATTTAGCAATTAGCATTATCGTATAGTGTGCAGTGGTAAAAATTTATTTGCGTTATACGTGGTTAAATAATTCAATTGAAAGGAGTGCTCTCTCCTAAAAGGGAAGCATAAACTGAATTTTAAGAAGCAGTTTTTATATATTTAAATTGTTTTTCATTCTAGGTTCAAGAGCAAAAAATGGTATCATTGCTATAGTTTACGTTCTTATTAATGTTCATGTTTAATGTTCTGTGTTTATTTTTGAAATTTTAAATATATTTATTGTATTTAAGTTTGTTGCTGACTTTAGACATTTTAATTATAACAGCCAAGGCAGTGAAAGGCAGTTGATTTGAGAACAAAGTGATAAGACACTTTAATTTTTAGTTGAATTTTTCTTGTTATGATACACTGATATATTAAAAGTATCCTTTCAGAGACTTTTCCACAAAATGGAATATTTTTTTTAAACAAAAGCAATTTTCTCCTACTCCTGAATCTTTTCTAATTCGGTGGTTTCACTCTAAATGACTGGCCTGTCAGTTAGACCTCCAGTGTCTTTTATCTGAGGTTTTTTTATTACTTTTAATTGAATTTGGAAAAATCATTAGCTTAGTAGATTATGTAGACGTAGAAAATATGACTTTGGGACATTATCAAATGTGGATAGTTTGCCTATAACTGTTCTCCTGTGTTCCTCACTTAGGTTGTTGGTAGAGAAACGCTATGATGAATTGAATCAACTGTATGACACCACAGTGGCTGCTCATCAGCTGGAAGTGAACACTCTGACTGGGAGACTTGCAGAACAAAAAGAAAGAAATGACAAGATTTATAAGCAGGTATTTTTCACTAATTCTGCTTTGAAACTGTGTCTAAATATTGGTTTTAATGAGTTTACTATTTGCTAAACTTTTGCCTCTTTTTAATATAGCTCTAAAATATGACTTTCTTTTATTTTGAAGTACTTGATCAGTGAGAATATGACTTATACTGTATCATGATACAGTAAGAATAAAATAAACCTAGTAACAAGGGCTTGAATGATTTTCATCAAATAAAAATTCTCATTATTCCAAGTTTTCCATTAAAAAAAAAAAAAAAAAATTAATCAACCCCTTTGTGTGTGACAAAATAACACAGCTGTGCCTCACCGTCTTGCGTCTGTCCTTGCAGCTGCTTGAGATGGAGTCCCTGAAGTCTGACCTGGAGCTGGAGGTGAAGAACCTGCAGAGAGAGGTGGACGCCCTCACACAGGAAAATGTGGGCATCAAGGAGGAGGTATGAAAGCAGCATGGCCGGCTCTCAAAGCTCATGATTTATGTTCATTGTACTTGCTTGAATTATCTGAAAGATCTCAAAATGCATGTGTGTGCGTGCGTGCATGCTTGTATGGGTGTGCATGCCTGTGTGATTGTGTGTGTGTGTGTACATGTGCATGCACTAAATTTTGCCTGTTTCCATTACATTGTAAATTTGTATTTCTAACATGATAGTCTTGGTCATATTTCCCCCCACCAGATCTCTGTAATGATCACCACAACCAAGAGCCTGAAGACCACCAACTTCAAGCTGGCCCAGGGTCTGGAGGAGGCTGTGGAGAAAGGAGAGATGCTGAAGGAGGAGAACTCAGAGTTGCAGAACAGGATAGAATCTGTACAGGTATGGCTTTTATTATGTATGAGTAAGGGAAGAATGCCCACCAAGATTTCAGTGTAGATAAACTAGTGTATTTGGTATTGGTTCTGGATGTGCAGTCAGATTGACAACACCTTTACAAGATGGGACAGGTTTTATGAAGGTATTGAAATAATGACAAAGCCTAAAGATAAATATTGTTTATGAGACTGAATTTGCATATATCTGATGAATCTTACAAACTTAAAATCTTATCTTTCTTCAGGTTCAGCACAGCCAGGAGAAGTTCAAGTTAGACAGTACCATAGCTCAGCAGACTAAACTCATTGACTACCTGCAGTCTAAGACAGAGAATCCTCCTAAGAAAAAGAAGGTACTGATTACTTTGTTATTCATGTGATCAATTCCATATATTTTGAAGTAGGATATTTAATGGATAATTAACCTTATAAGATAACTTTTCCAAAAAAATAGTTTTGATTTCAGAATTCCATAGCATTATTTCTTGCTGCAGAATATGAGTCATCAAATTTGTGGCAATTCTTGCCATTTTTTTAGGTATGTTATCCCCTTTTATTATGGTTATTTTAAATCTTACAGCATTTTTCACAGTGCCTGTACCCATGTTCTTTCCAGGCCATATTCAGCAGCACCTCTAAGCCCAAGTCAGGCAGCACCCCTGCCCCAGTGACCAGCACCAACCAGGTCAGGGACCTCCAGGGCAGGCTGGAACATGAGAGAACCAAGAACCAGGACTTGAGAGAACAGATCATCAAACTGCAGAGTCAGGTGCAAGAACTAAAGAGAGACCTGGGTGAGTAAGCTTGTTTGTGTGACATACTATTTATGAGAGCTCAATTATCTTTATTATGTATAATATAGATGTTTGAGCATGCTGGAATATTCATGGTTTATTGATATTTTAAAAGAAAAAAAAAAAAGAAAAAGAGAACAGATTTGAACAGATTCGAACAGATTTACTGCATATTAGTGGGTTGCAATTTGTGCCTAATACAGAATTCATGTTGTCTGCAATAAGTTAAAGAAATTGAGTCTCTTTTTTCTCTTCCAGACAAGAAGGGTATGGGAGTCCAGCAGAGTGAGGCTCCCACTCCAGCCAGGTACAAGACCTCTCTGGCCTTCCAGTTCAGTGCCACCGACCTCCTCAGGGCCACCAGGGACAGGGACGAACTGGACACTTCGTCCAGCAGCTCAGGGTCGTCCAGTCAGGGGCAGGAGAGGATGAGACATAACATCCCTCACAAGTTCACCACTGGACTGAACACCAGGGCCAGGCAGTGTGCTGTATGTCTGGGGACCATTCCCTTTGTCAAACAGGCTTCTAAATGTACAGGTCAGTTGTTGTTATTTTAGATTTATGCATTTATTATTCGATTTAGTTAATATAGATTTTGAAATGCAGTCTGAATTAATCACTCTGATCTTTGAGGTATTTAGGCAGTGCTTAATTCTCAGCATTGCCAAGTCAGTGTTAGCTTTTGTGGTAATACAGGGAGTAATTAATGTTCGAATAGTGGATAGTGTAATGGGAATAGTATATATCCTATTACTTTGTATTGACTTAAAATAAGATTCAAATAGTCTATGTATTGCTTATGATAAGATAATGATAATAAGTCAGTATTATCACATCTGTCCCTGTAGAGTGTAACATAGTGTGCCACCCCAAGTGTCACCAGGCCCTAGCAGCCACCTGTGGTCTCCCCACTGAGTACATGGAGCACTTTACAGCCAGGATGAACAGGAGGGACATGTCCCCGACCTCGCGCTCCTCCAGCAGTGACCTCAGCTGGACTGAGATGGAGGGATGGATGAAGATACCAAGGTAATGACACACAGAGTTGGAAGTTGGATAGTAGAAAATGTCTTGAATTTGCTTAAGGATTCTTCGTGGCTTTTAACACATTCTCTCTGATATTAGAAAACTTAAGATCTCGCCAAGTGGTTCAAAGATTTTTAATTCACTGAACGACTTTTCAAGGTTATATTTCTTATACGGTCTGTGGTTGGAGGAAACTTCTAAAAGATCAATTCAAGAAGCTCAGTTTTTTTTAGAGACATAAGTTTGCAGTATTCAAATAACTTTATTTTTCATCACAGCAAATCTGGCAAGCAGGGCTGGGAGAAGAAGTGGGTCACCTTGGAGGACACCAAGCTGTGTATATTTGATGACCACACCTGCCAGACCATGGTGGACGAGTTTGACCTGTGTCCACCCAAGGGGACGGTGTCCCTCCACACTGCTGTGTCCCCCGCGGAGATCAACACGACGGCTGTGGCAGACCTGAGGTTCATCATGAAGCTGGAGGCCAGGTCTCACACCACCTGCTGGCCTGGAAGGTGAGGACACAGCATGTGATGTCTCTCTTTTGAGATATACGTTCTGTTGCTCCTGCCCCACCCACCCCCTTTTTCACTCCTTCTCCTGAACAAAGACTTTGTAGCATATAATAAAGACCAGTTTTTGTATGAAATATATTTAATGACTTTGGCTTGAGTTCTGATTATTCAGCCAGTGTAGAGATAAAGTCACATTCCCTGTATGTTATTTTTTCCAGAACAATGTATTTGATGGCTCTGAGTTTTCCTGAGAAACAAAAGTGGATAGCTACAATAGAAGCCATTATCAACCAGCAGGATGAGGATGACAGAGAATTCCAGGCAGTGAGTGTTCTCAAACTCTTGGGTCTGTTTTCTAAAACCTATCAAATTTTAGCAAAAGCCCACTGGCAATTTTGTTCTTTTATAGATTCATGCATTTAAAAAATTAACTTTTTTTGTGATAGTTAACTGGTTTATATGGAAGTTGTCTACCTTTTCCTTTGACAGTCAATTTTGATTTGATTTCCAGAAAGTTCTAGGTAACTCCATCCTGCGAGTTAAAGGCAACAGCAGAATTGACGTGAACTGCACACTGTTGCTGGACAATCAGGTGAGATGATCACCCATGTACATTTACTCTGACATGCATGTACACACAAGTCAAATCCACAATATGTAGTGCAAGTCTTATCATTCACGTCAGAGCCCAAAATTGAATACAGTTATGTGTGAAACATAATACAGCATCTCTAGGTATGTTATAAGCTGCCAGATGGCTTGTGCACATGTAACACTTTTTGAAAGAAATGTAATGTTTGGTCTGCAGATCCTTCTGATAGGGGCAGAGGAAGGGTTGTTTGCCCATGAGCTCCTGAGCAAGCCCCAGGCTACCAGTATCACCAGGATGGCAGGCATGAACCTCCCTGTCTACCAGATCAAGATACTCAAGGAGATGGGCATGGTGCTCATGATCAGAGGTCAGTAGTGGTCACCAGGGGGTCAGTTAGTGTGTGTGATAGGACTGGGCAGGGGTCGGCAGTGGAAGACTACATTAAAATATAACTGATCTTGTTTTATGTTATGTAGCAATATAGTATTTTTCATACATTGTGATTGTATTGACAGGTTGAATAATCTACTTTCAAATTGATGAATAAGAATTGAAGATTTCTTTTTATTGACAGTTAGCATAGAATATGAAATGATTGG